ATGACTAAGGAGGGGCATTACTGAGGCCAGTAGAGGTTCTGAGGCCTGAGACTTTAAAGAAAGACCATTTAGCAGTTAACATCTTAGCAGGAATAGGAATAGGAGCGCAGAAGGGTAAAAGGGAGTAGGGACAGGGACCTTCCCTGCTATTCCCTAGCCTGACACTAAGTGCCAGGCACCGTCCTAAGTGTCTTATGCATGTTACACACAGATTCTTTTAAGCAAACTGAGTGGAACTTGAGTATGACTGTGCCGGTATGAATGAAATGCCCCCCACCCATGTTCTCATGCACTTGAATACCTGATTCCCAATTGGAGGCTGATGGAGAGGCTTAGGAGGAGTGGCCTTGCTGGAGGAAGTGTGTCACTGAGGGGGACTTCGAGGACTCAAAAGCTACACATTCCCAGCTTCTTGATTGTGGATCGGGACCCGAGATCCCAGCTTCTGCTCCAGCCTTCCTGCTCCTGCCGTGCGCTCCCCTGAGGATGGACTATTACACCTCTCTTCTATAAATTGCCTCAGTGATGGTACTTTGAAATGATCCACATGAGACAGTTAGTGACAACCATGCTGATTAACCCAATTAATATTTTTAATCTTATTAATGGCCAGACCAAGAGCTGACTCCTGCCTCTGAAGTCTCTTGGTGCCCAAGCTGAGGGGTACAGCATTTTTAAAGGCAAAGACCACAAAGACCATAATTTACATCAAAATTGGATGAGGGTCAGAGTAAACTTGAAACAGGACAGACACAACAGAACAATTATATTTGATTCAAATCATCTTTAGTTATTTTAGTTTACTTTAATTATTTTGGATAATACATCTGGACCATGGTCAAGGCCATGGAAATCTCAAATGTGTGGCCAAGGTAGATGTGGCCAGCCATTCAGGGGAGGAGGGTAGAGGGCTGAGAACTGTCTAAGCAAACACAAAATGGAATTGGAACAGAATGGTATGATCTTAGGCACTCTGTTTTATAACAGCAATAGCAAACTAACTAAGACGATGAATGACTCCATTGTTTCAGCCTGACGTGTTAGGACCTAGTTCAGAAGTTTAGTCCAGAAAAATGGTGGCCTATAATTTTTAACAAGAAGAATGTGACTAACTCCAGGCACTCTTAACTATCCTTAGGTAGTAGATGGTTTCAAAACCATGAATTTTAAGGATTTTAAAAGGGTAATACATATGTAGCTTATAGAACATTGCACATCCAGAAGTTCTGAAGCAGCTCTCCCAAAAACTGATTAATGTAAAGCAGGGCACAGCGTCAAATGCAGAGGCAGGCAGGTCTCTGTGAGTTCTAGGCCAGTCTGGTCTACATAGAAAGTTCCAAGTCTGTCTGGGCTGTATAATGAGACTGTGTTGAAGAAGAAGGAGGAGGAGGAGAAGAAAAGGGAGGGTGGAAGGGAAGGAAGAGGAGGAGGAAGAAGAGGAGAGGAAGAGCAGCCAAAGCAGAAGCAGCTACCACCACCCCAGCTCCAATAGGATGGGCTGGTAATGTGCTAAGTAAGCACCTAAGGCAAGGCTAAGACAGGAGGCCTGCTACAAGTTCCAGGTCATCAGATTTCATAGTGAGTTCCAAGCCATACTAAACTATGAAAGGAGATATTGAAAAAGATAGTTACGTAATGGTCAGGTACGTCTTGGTTAGGGTAGTTGGTTTCACTCTTGGTTTTGGTTCTGCAAGGTGATCAAAGTCCTTGTCTATCACTAATAAAACCAAGCTGGGTCAGAGCAGAAGTTAACTTCTGGGCCAGGGTGTGGCACTGTGGTCATCTTGGATAACTGCCTAACAATGACACACAGAAAGGTAAAACATCATGGTTTAGGAGTGTGTGTGGGTGGGGGGTGTGGTGGGGGTGTGTGAGTGAGAGTGTGTGAGAGTGGGAGGGGCACTGTGAGTATGTTCCAGAAAGAGCAAATTGTCAGACAGCTACCTTGAGTACCTTTTCTACCTGGAACTGCCTCTTCTGCCCTCCCACTCCACGCATTGGTAAGCCTGTGTGTGACCTCTTCTCTATACTCTCACAGCTTCTCTGATTGTCATTTTACCTCACCTCACTATGGCTTAAAATAGAATCACAAGCAAAAAATTTAACAACTCAGTTTAACTATCTGTGAGGGTGGGGGGAGAAAAAAGCAGAGGGGAGGGGAGGGAAAGGGAAGAAAGGAGGAGAGGGGAGGGATTTGTAACCCAAGCTGGCCTTGAACCCCCTCGTAGTAGTAGTAGTCTGTAAGAGTACAGGTTTTTCCGCCCACCGCCTAATCTTGGCCCGCTGCTGCGCCAGCCCCAAATAATACACTGAGACTCTGTATTTGATATTATGCTGTTGGTCCATTACTAGTTTCTTATCGGCTAGCTCTGTCTTAAGTATTAACCCATTTCTATGTATTTCCATGTGGTCTTACCAATGAGAGGCAGCTGGCGGTTCTATTCTCTCCAGATTCTCCATCTTGACTCCTCCTTCCTACTTCCTATTTCCTCCTTGTCTCCTAGTCCCTCCTATCTTCCTTTCCTATTGGCCAATAGTGCTTTATTCATTAACCAGTATGAGAAACATAATCAGAATGACATCTCCCATCAATTTTGAATTTCTGGTTCTCCTGCCTCTAACATGTCAAATACTGAGATTACTACAAATTTTGTGATTGTAAGGTTCTAGTAAGTGCTACCATGTGGTTCTTATGATGCTGAGGGTTAAATCCAGAGCTTCATAAATACTGGGCAAGCATTCTACCACTGAGCTACATCATCAAGCCAAGAGTGTCTAGATATGTAAACACATGGAGTGGAAGGTGGGAGGAAGACACACCCCCAACTCCACAGAGATGGAATCTTCTGTCTTAGGAGCACTTCCTGATATCACCATCTCTGTTTATGTGTATCTGTTAAAATATTATTTCGTAATAAACTGATAAACATAAGTATTTCCTTGAGTTCTGTGAGCTGCATGGCAAATTAATAAAGCCCAAAGAGGAGAACCTGCAAATCCCAGCAGGTTAATGGGACAGAAACTCTGGTAAAAACAACCTGGGGCTTCCGCTTGGTATTGGGAGACTAGAGCAGATCTGTAGGGTGGCATTCTTACCTGTGAGATCTATCACTACACACAGTACTGGCCTGCCCTTGGAGTTCCGACAGGATACACCCTCAGCTGCAGCCACTAAGAGCACCACCTGTGGACATTCACTATATTCCCTTTTAAAAGGACCCTGCCCACCTCCCATCTCTTTCTCTTTCCGCTTCTCTGCCTGTCTCTCTGTCTCACCTTCTCCCTCCCTCTCCTTCTCTATCTCCCTCTCTTTTTCTGCCTCTCTCTTCCCTTTTTCTCTTCTCTTCTGCTGCTCCTTTCCCCAGAAGCCAGTCTCTCCTCTTTTCTCCCCTTTTCCATTCATTTTTTCCCAGTAAAATCCCCTCCCTCAAGCTCTGTCAAATGGCATCTTTCTCTCGTGCTGATTTTTAAAATCATAACATTGGTTCCCTGACCAGTGTAAGAATTCAGTAGAATGGAAGGACACTCAGCTGATATCCCCCACAGATATAATGATTGGTGGTAGTGAGACCTGACCAGAGGTAGTAGAAGTCTTCTGTGTTGATTGTAAAGAATATATATATATATATATATATATATATATATAAAGACAGATGATGACCCCTGACTCAACTTCTCAGACCTTCTCTGCTTGGCTTTCAGGTTGATTTGGGGCCAGGAAAGGATGGCAGGCGATCTGGTCTATGCAATAGGCTATACTGTTTCTTTCTCTTGTTGATAAGGATCCCTATCCTTCTTTCCAACCCATGAGCAGGTGCATACAAAATCACAACCACCTGTTTCTTATCAGTCCTGCAACCCTTTCATCAGCAAACAAACTTCTCTGGTTGTGACATCGCTTTGACCTTGAGCACAAAACCTGATCTCATGCTCTTTTCTGAGCCACCCAGGAACCTGCCTAGTTTCTATCTACTTACCTTTCCCTAGGGGTCTGGTTGTCAAGGCAACACTTTGCCAGGAGCTCATCCTTCCGATCAAATGCCATCTGTGTCTTGCTATGTCACCTACTGATGCCTTCTCAGAGGTCAGGAATGTGTTTCCTTCTCCAGTCTCTGTAGAAGCATCCTCCAGTATGGTATAGTATCATCGAAGTTAAGACTGCTTCCTGAATGTCACCCACAACAACCCATCAATGTCACCTGCTTGGGTCATCTGATGGATGCAGCCATGTGTTAACAGATCTGGGTGAACAAGAACTCAAGAGCATTTTACAAGCTTGCTATCTTTATTTATTTATTTTCTGTTTTGGTTTTTAATTAAAACCTCTAAAAGAGGATAGGGAATCAGTGGGAGGTGTGCTGCCTAATTGTAAGGTTTAAACACTCAGGTAAGAGTGGGCCGAGAAACTGACAGAAAGATATAGGCCTTGCTCTGAAGATGCCTGCGACCCTTCTGAAGGGCTCAGAGACACCATGTGATTCTGATCTTTCTCTATAGGCACGGGAAAGCCAGACACGGCCCATTTGGTCCGATTAATATTTTGCTGTAGTTAACACCAGGTGTCTGACATTTCGTTTTCCTCCCAGTTCACTAGCACCAGATAGCAGAGGTAGATCTCAGGGCTCAGGAAGAAATGTCGAGGGGGCGGGGCGTAGGACGTGGTTTTCCAGGGGCGTGCCCGAGTGGGCGTGGTCGGGGAAATTCCCCGGCTAGGGCGGGAGCCCGCGCTGCGGTCAGCTGAGCGGCGCCCCGCGGGTCGCGAGGCCGCGCGTCATCGTCCAGCTGCCCGGTCGCCGCCCCCTCGGCCGGTCCCTGGCGGGCGTCGGCATTCAGAGCTCTGGTACTGGGACAAGATGCCAACGAAGCAGTGACCCGAGAGGAGCGGATCTAAGCGGACGGTGAGCCTGGCTGGGGGTGGCGGGAGCTGGCCGAGCGCGGCGACTCTCCCCGGCGGTCTCCACTCCATCCTGGCTGCGATTCCCGCTGTTGCGGTCTCCGGGAGCCTGCCGCGGGGAGGGTGACGAAGCTGGGGCGGCCCTCTTGTAGGACGGCTTCCCTGGGTAAGATTCCAAGGCCCAGGCGGATCCTGACCTGGTGTGAAAGGGCAGCTGGGATGTAAGTGGGGGTATGGAGGTGGCGGCTGCCCCAATGGACTCCCCTCTTTTTCCCCAGCATGGTAAAACACAGGCTTTGCTGGCCGCAGGTAACTTCCAGTTCAGGTCACTGAGGTGGTTTGAAGGTGATGTCCCAGGTTGATGGTGATTAAGCAAGCAGTAGGTTCTTTATATGGAGGAAGTGGTTAAAGGTACTGTCACAAGGAATGAAGGCATTCTGAATGATGTGGCCCAGGAACAGTAAAGAATACCGACCCCTTGCCAAAGTAACAGGCTTACAGAAGGATATGTAAACTGTTGTGTCTGTCTGGGAGAGGGTACTATATCCATGCATGTATATTTGTATTATGTGGGAAGGGAAGGAGGAGAGACAGAGAAGAAATATATGAGAATGAGAATGAATTTAATGAAACTGGGAACTTTAAAGGAATGATTTATACCACAGGCAATGTGTAAATTGGAGGCAGTAAACAAGCCTCAGAGGAAAGTGAAACCCAGCCCCTGACCTGGCCTTCACTATCAGACTCCTATATGTAGGGATGGATGTAAGCCAGAGGTGTTTAAGATTGAAATGGAAAACCTTAGTGAGAGCCTCAAGAAAATAACCTAAGGTAATATTGGGCCACTGGATCTTTCACAACTCTCTCCAAAGCTGCCCTCTTACCCAAAGCAGCCTAGGGGAGCCCCATAGCCTCAGGGTTGATAATGGGGCGGAGGAACAGAGCCCAGGCCACTGCCAGAGATTGCCTTGGATTTGATTGGGCAAGTGAAGTTTCACTGTGGGCTGTGCGTGTTTACACAGAGCCGGTTTGAGCAGTACTTTATGTATTGTGTGCAACACCATGAAAATAACTACAGTTTTAAAAACTGACCTGTAAATTGCATATTATGGGGGTATGTCTGTGTATGTGGCCAGGGGAGAGGAGTCTATATTTTGTGAGACTGGAATGAACTTGAAAGGGATTGGTTATTATCTTCTTCCTGAACTCCCTCATTTAAGTAGCACATAGTTGTTGTGGCCATGAAATATCCCTACTGATCCCCAAATCTGCTTTCCTGACTTTTATTATAGAGACTTAGTATGTTAACGGGCTCTCTGGATTTTCTGGAAAATCAAAATTCAAAAGGAAAGAAATTAAACTCTTTAAATTTTGCTATATTTATTAATTCTCTCTGTGTGCATGTGTGTTCATGAATGTATGCATCTGCTTGCCATGGTGTTTATGTGGATGCCAGGGGACAGTCTATGAGAGATCCGTGGATCTCATCCAGGTTGCCAGGCTTGGCAGGATGTGCCTTTACCCACTGAGCCATCTTTCTGACCCTTATAATCTTTTGGTTTGGTTTGGTTTGGTTTGGTTTAGTTTGGTTTTGAGACAGGGTCTCACCATGTCTACCTGACTGGCCTGAAACTTACTTTGTAGACCAAGCTGGCCTTGAATTCACAGAGATCTTCTTTGCTTTTGCCCCACAAGTGCAGAGGTCAGAGGCATGTACCAACACCCTTCCCCACACCTTTTTTTAAAAAATTAAATTTCTTAAGGCTTTCCTTGATTCTGCTTTGGCATGTGTATGATAATGAGTTGCCAGAATATATGTTATATAATAATATCCAGATCTTTTGCAGTGGTAGAGAAAAACAGTTCTGATCTTTAAAATAAGTTTAAGGAGTTGACTTCATGAATCTGGATGTGAACACAGACTTGCAGGAAATTCATAACAGTACTAACATGTGGGCTCTGTGCTTACACAACAGAAAGCATTTTACAGGTGCTGGACTTAAATAGCCCTCGTTAGGCTGTGTTTGCATTTTGTTTCAACGAACACTCAGAGGCTGCTGTGTGCTACTCTCTGGTAAGAAAAAGATGGAGAGAAAGTAGAGGGTATAAGACTGGCAGTAATTGCTGAGAGGGCTAAGGTAAGGAGCTGGAAATCCAAATGGTTCTTAGGTGCCTAGAAGAGATGTCATATTTTACCTGGACATTGAAACTGCCCCATGGATGTGTGCCAGAGAAAATGAGTGCCAGGCATTTCCCAGGGAGGACACTGCAGAGGCAAGGACACAGAGGCCAAGAATGCATGAACCCCTTATTGTGGTATTTGTGGCTTGGTGACAGGAGGTGACATTGATTTATATGGATAAGTAAGCCTGAAAATAAATAAAAACAAATAACTCTCATGAACTTCAATTGTAGCAGGATTGAAATGCAAAGAGGAAAATGCTATCAAAAATTCATTCAACAAAAACCTGGTAATTTTTCTTGTATGCACCACAGTACTGGGGCACAGCAGTAGACAAAGTAGGTGAAAGTTGAACATTGCCATTCACAGGCAAAGTGAAAGGCCAAGCTTTAGTCTTTAGGAATGGAGAGATGAGAGTTTTGGAAGCATTGGAGGTAGAAGTGACTGGACTTGATGACTCCTTCAGATTTGGGAGAATGGGGAATGGGAAGAAGGAGGCCTTATTGCCATGTCTCTGCCTTTGAAAGTGAGTTAACTCTGTTTCTGTTTTTTGTGTACTAGTAAGTCATGAATGACGTTACTAATAGCTTCCCTGGAAACAACATTGAGGCTTCTTTTACTCCAGAAATAAGGTGTGTGTTTGTGTGTGTGTGTGTGTGTGTGTGTGTGTGTGTGTGTATGTGTGTCCCACCTTCCTTTTCCAGAGATATTGGGTTTAGTCATGTGATCATGGAATGTAATCAATCTCCCTTTAATTAATTTATATATTTATTCTGTCAGTATGGGTGTGAGTGCACTCATGACATGGCATATGTGAGGAAGACTCAGGACAGTTTATAAGAGTCACTTTTTCCTTCCAACATGTGGATCCTGGGGATCCAACTGGGGTGATCAGACCTGCTGAGTCATCTTGCCAGCCCCCTTCAGCCCCTTTTATGAGTGGAAACTAAAATTTATCATAGCCAGCTATTGGTGCTCTTCAGGAAACAGGTTTTCATTGTTTGAAAGTGATTGACCAGGTTGAAGAGGTGGCTCAGCAGTAAGAACACTTTCTGCTCTTCCAGAGGACCTGAGTCCTGTTCCCAGTACCCATTGCAGGCAGCCAGCTCCACCTTTCCCTTCTTACTAAATATCTTTGTCTAGAAATGGCACTGATCAGCCCAAATCAGTTGGATTTCTATGAGGAATCCTGCTTTTAGAGGGAACCTTCAAATAAACACTTCTCTCCAGTTTTGTTATCTCTGAGACACATAAAAAGATATGTGTCTCTGTGTTTGCTCAGTTGAATGTACTCCAAGAGGAAGTTAAAGACTTAGACATTTAGGCATCAGTGAGTTGGTTTAACAAATAAAGGTTCTCGATGCTAAGCTTAATGGTCTGATTTCCATCTTTGGGACCCTGCTGATGGAATGGGAAGGCAGAAACAAGCTGCCCTCTGATCTCCACATAGATAGATGGCATGGTGCTTGTGCATACTTGTGTGCTAGTGTGGGCTCTCTCTCTCTCTCTCTCTCTCTCTCTCTCTCTCTCTCTCTCTCTCTCTCTCTCTCTCTCTCTGTGTGTGTGTGTGTGTGTGTGTGTCCCTATCTAGCTCTGTCTATATCTCTCATGTGTGTGTATGTGTGTATGCTGTATATGCTTGTCTCATACATGAATAGATAGGATAAAACTGTTTAAGATTTTGAGATTTAAATATCTTCTCATTACATTCTACCAGTAGATATTTCACATGTCCACTGTATAGTGGTAATCCATCAATATTTTGAGTGCCTTTAAAGTACCCAACAATCTTGAAGTGCCCTCTGAGTCTTCCACTCTTCCTTCAGACTGCTTTTAGTAAAATGGTGGTACTATTTGAATGCTCACATTTGCAGTATATGCTAGTTTCTTATTCACCATGACATTTGAATTATGGAATTAGTTTTCCTAACACCGTTTGACAACGATGCAACTAAGTGAGTATGTATTTTTGAGAATGAACAGTATATTGGTGGGGCCAGCAGAGGATAGTGGTATAGAGATATATTATTTATGGTCTATTAAAGCTTGCCTGAGGATTCAGAAAGCAAAGTCAGCTACAAGTCATAGAAGTCAGGCACACACCTTTAATTCTGGCAGCCAGAAGCTAGGAGGTACTGGTACACACCTTTACTCCTAGGACTCAGGATTAAGAGATAAGACAGATCTCTGTGAGTGTAAGGAATGGGTTTTTCCTCTGTTACTAGCATTTCTTATTGGCTAGCTCTGTCTTAAATATTAACCCATTTCTATTAATCTAAATATTTCTATGTGGTCATATCTTATCAAAGAGAGGATCTGGACCTCTTCTCTCTCAAGTCTCTACATCTTGAATCTCCACTACTACATCTCCCAGAATCCTTCTTGTCTCCTAGTCCTGCCTATCTTGCCTTCCTATTTGCCAACAGTGCATTATTAATTAACCAATAAGAGAAACATATATACAGAATGACATCTCCCATCCCATTATCATACACAGTAGCAAAAATAAATTTTATGGAAAATCAGAAACATGGGCTTTACTCAGGAAGGGGTACAGGGAAGGCATCTTAAACCAATTCAGTTAGGCAAAACCCATTTCCATACGAGAGACTGCTAAGTGAGCAATGCTTTGTCTGTGTTTTCCCTCTGTGAAATTGCCATCCTCCTTGTGTACTTCAGAGGATGCATTTCTTCTTAGCAGATAGATCCTTTAAGTAGCACAGCCTGCTCACCCTCCCCATCAGTGCTAACACTATGATTTATCTACAAGTTCTTCAGACTAGAGGCAGTGCACCAGACTCTTAATTTTAGAGAACCTGCAGAGCCCCAGGATCCTGCCTCCTATGGGCAGCCCTCATCCTGTGCGTCCAGTCTTATTTTCATATGTGGATTTTAAGCATGCATGATACATGGCAGAGAGAGTGGTTCTCCTGCCTGTCAGAAGAGTGACTGATTTCATGTGTAGTGGAATACAGCTCATGGAGTTGAGGAGCTGGCAGTCTGAGAGCAATGCCTTCTCTCCCAGTTAGAAATAAGAGCTGTAGCTTGGTGGTAGAGCACTTGTCTAACATGCCTGAGTCTCTAGATTCAGCTCCTATTAAGGGGTGCAGGGAGCAAGTGCTCACCAACATGTGCTCAAATGTGCCTTCATCCCAGGGCTTTCTGTAGCACCAGTAGTTTCTGCTTTATCATAGTTGGGCAAGCATTATCATTTGATGTCATTTGTTTTGTAGGTGGATTTAAATTTATCTTATAATTCTTAGAGGTAAAATTTTAAGTTTTTAAAAAAATGTACGTATATGTGTGTCTGTGTATGTATGTACCTTTGGAAACCAAAAGAGGACATCAAATCCCCTAGAGTTGGAGTTACAGGCAACTGACATAGGTGCTGGGAGCCAAAGAGGGCCCAGTGCTTTTAAATACTGAGCCATCTCTCCAGGCCCAAAAAAAATGATACTTTTTTTCAGTCATCTCTCTGGACTTCAGTCATTTGCCTTTATAAGGCAATGTGTGTGTGTTACCTTTACGTTGTATCGTTTTATGATCCTATCCACATCAGTTCATGATGGGAATATCTCATTTTCGTGAAACACGAAGATGAATTTTTTTGCCTGCAGTATGTGTGTAGCCAGTCATTGGAAAGATGACTGTTTGTCTGAGTGGTAGGCAATAAAGAAACAGAATTGGCATTTATTCTTAGTTATGTGTTTTCAGGATATGCAGTAGGTATCAAGCTGCTTTAGTGTCTTGTGTGTATGCATGATAAATATCATATCAAAGCCTCAGTTTAAAAAAAAAAAAACTTCTCTCGTGCCTTCTTTGTATTATAAGATGGTATCTTCACCTCAGCCTTGCTGCTAGCACTTCTGACCTTGGGCGAGCTGTTACACCTGCTTCCTCACCTGAAAGATCATGAGTAGGGAGTGTCACCAGGTGTTGGTGGCACATGCCTTTAATCTCAGCACTTGGGAGGCAGAGGCAGGATGATCTCTGTGAGCTCAAAGCCAGCCTGGTCTATGGAGTGAATTACAGGACAGCCAGGAGTAGGGTATGTGTCTGGTAGTGTTTCAGCACATACTAAGCCTAAGAATTGCCAAAAAAATAAACATTGTCTTCCATTCCTTTTTATTAAAGATAAAATATGGAGATTTTAATAGCTTTCAATAAATGTATAAATAAAGATTTTAATAGATTTATTGAAATCTAATTCCTAAACAATACAATTCACTCAAAATAAGGAGCTTTGACCTTAAAAGATTTCAGGGGATTCATGCAGTGATCCTTCACCAAGGCTACAGATATTATTCAAATCATCACTTCCTACACTTGAATCTCATTTCTACCCTTTTCTGCGCATGGTCCTGTGAAGGTGGGCCATGCAGCTGGATGTTTAAACGGAAAGCCTTCACAATGCAACTGGAGGGAAAGTCAGCAACCTTGAGAACACTACTGCTTATTACTAATAGATTTGTGGGCCTTTCTGAGGCCTGTGGCAGACTAGTGACAGCTATAGCTTGTGGCTTTTCCACAGGACCTGTTACCATGTCCCATCAACCTCTGAGCTGCCTGACTGAGAAGGGGGACAGCCCCTGTGAGACCCCAGGAAATGGACCCCCCAATAGGGTTCACCCCAGCCTGGATACATCCACTCCTGAGGAGCTGCTACAGCAAATGAAGGAACTCCTGGTTGAGAACCACCAACTAAAAGGTGAGCAGGGCTGTAGTCTGGATTCACCATGCAGGAAACACAGTCCCTTTGGGAGAAGGGTTGTAAGTGAGGTCCTGTCTCAGCCCGTTTCCCTAGGGGGAGAAACAATACAGCTAGACTTCGAATAGTGCTGCAAGGCTTTCTGTTTACATATTTTTACATGTCAGACTAGAAAGTACTTTGTTTAGGGGCTGAGAGTATAGACCAGTAATAGAGAACTTGCCCAGCACTGGAAAGACTCCACTATACGAAACAAAAACAAAAGTATTCCATCTCTGAAAATAGTGTAATGGCATTTAGACCATTTAAAAGACTAAGGAGTGGTGCCTCTATGGTTACAGTTAGGTGTAAATATTTGTCAGGAGAAAGCATTTTGAGCTAGGCATGATGGTTGCAGGGCTCCAGAACAGAGGCAAAGGAATTCCATGTGCTAGATGGCAAGTTCAAGGCCACCCCAGGCTACATACATAGTGAAACTTTGCTTCAAGGGAGGGATTATATCCTGATATCTCAAGCCATGGCTAATTAAACATTGGAATCAAAGAATGATAGGGCCTCCCTCAGTCTTTCAGACTTCTGGTCATTAACAGGAATTTATATCCCAAGTCAATTTTACTTGGGGGAGTTTGTTGTTTTGAGACAGTGTCTTGTATAGCTCAGGATGGCCCCCTGCTCACTATGTAGCTGAGACTGACCTTGAACTCATCATCCCACCTCTTGCCTCCCGGTGCTAGGGGCACAGTTACGAGCCACCGTGCCTGGCCTTTCTTGTGACCTTTATGGACTATTGATTATGTGCTACTTTGTCTGTGAGCAAATTCTGTTTACATCACTGTAGTCTTTTCCCTGCTGATGCACCCATCCCTGGCCACTGGGGCATGTTTAGACCCAGAATTGAAGTAGCCAGAGGGGAGAGCTGGCTCACAAACCCCATCCATTCCCTGGCGGGTGATTCCCTTTCTCTGAACCCCAAACAGAAGCCATGAAGCTAAACAATCAAGCCATGAAAGGGCGGTATGAGGAACTTTCAGCCTGGACAGAGAAGCAGAAGGAAGAGCGCCAGTTGTTTGAGACACAGAGCAAAGAAGCTAAGGAGCGCCTGATAGCCTTGAGTCATGAAAATGAGAAACTGAAGGTGGAGCTTGGAAAACTAAGAGAGAAGTCAGAAAGGCCATTTGAAGTGAGTACGTGATCCACCATGGTTTTCTTTTCTTAGTACATACAGTTGTGTGACAAAACTTTCCCTAGGGTGATGCAATGATACATGCCTGCTTATTCTAAATAGGAATCCCATGACCGACCAAAGAATGGATACCACCAAAGTCCAATTTGGTGAACCAATGAGTTTTATTAGGGTTACTTACAGGAGTATAGGTTAGTGACTACTTACAGGAGCAGAAATAAAAGCAGCTGCATCACCGAGGCCCACCCCAGCCAGCATGGATGACAGCTCACAAAAGCTAAGAAACCTAGAGCACACTGCACAGCCTGCATGCAGCTCAACCAGTTGGAGAGCATCCTTTCCAAGTGACTCTGACTTAACCTCTTCCAGGCAGCTGGACTGGTTTATGCTTCTTCCAGATAGCTGGTCTGGTCTGAGTCTTTATAGTTCTCTCCTCTCATTCTGCTTCCTTCTGTCAGAAGGGGTCTCTCAGCTTTTATTGCCCACTCTTTTTTTTGTTTTGTTTTGTTTTTGTTTTCCCCCTTCAAGACAGGCTTTCTTTGTGTAGCCTTGGCTCTCCTGGATCACACTCTGTAGACCAGGCTGGCCTTGAACTCATAGAGATCCACCTGTCTCTGCCTCCTGAGTGGTGGGATTAAACAAGGCATGCACCACCACTGCCTGGCTTCCCCTGGCAGAGAGAGATCTAGTGATATCTGGTTGGTTTCAGGGACTCTCTGAAGCTATTTTGAGTTGTTCATCTTCCTGTTTAAATATATGCAGGGAGGAATGTCTCTGTCTGGAAAGAAACTAACTACAGTAGTAGAATCTTACTGGTCTGGACCATTAGATCAAAACTTTCTGTGGTTCAGGCTGGACAGGTATTTTACATGGTCTTGGAAGCTGTGTGGTTTTGCTGGAAACACTGACTGAGTCATATATAATCTCTGTTGGGGAGGGATATTTATAAGGGCAGAGCTTCGGAGATGGCTCAGTCTGTGAAGTGCCTGCCATGAAAACATGAGGACCTGATTTCCAACACCCATGTAAACTCTGGAATTGGAGATGTGCATCTGAAAATTCAGCACCAGGGACAAGACTGTCACATCCTAGTGATCTAGGAACACCCCAGTGTCTATTCCTGACCTCCATAATACACACCTACATGTATGTTCACCTTCACATTTCATGCACATACCCACATAAGTATACACACATGTACATGATATACATGTGTGTGCATGCATATATGTGTATGTATATGTAATATATATGTATGTTATATATGTATATGTTATATATATATGTATATATATGGCAAACAAAGCAGAAATTTATAAGATCTCATACAATATAGTCAAAAGATAATCCTGAGCTAGGCATGGTGGTTTACCATGTAATCCCAGCACTGTAGGCAGGTGGCCCAAGAGCCCAAAGCTAGCCTGGACTACATGGTGAGTTACAGGCCGGGCTGAGTAGTATGAGACTTAGTCCCAAAATAACTAAACTAAAAACATTCAGATTATAAATCAGTGTTTCATAGTAAACAGTTTACTATTCAGTAAATAGTAGGTGGGGGGCTGGAGAGATGGCTCAGAGGTTAGGTGCTCTTCCAGAGATCCTGAGTTCAATTCCCAGCACGCACGTGGTGGCCTACACCATCTGTAATGAGATCTGGTGCCCTCTTCTGACATACAGGCAGAACACTATATACATAATAAATAAATCTTTTTTTAAAAATGGTAGGTGGACCTCGGTCTAGAGCTATCCACTTGTTTGTTCTTAGTTTATATCCTTGACATTAGATTTTACAAATGTACCTTGGAATGTTTACTTTTTGGTCTTGTTATTCTTTAAAGTAGTGACGATCTTTTACAGTTTGCTTTTGAAAAATGACTTAGGAGTGCCATATTGTGATATAGGACACTGACTACCATGGTTAAAGACAAAATGGTCACATTTTGGTTAACCCAAAAGTCCTGTGAAAGTCATTCACCCCTGAGAATGTATGTCAGAGATATTAACAGAGGACAAACCAGAGTACGCTGATGTCAGCTGGTCATCAGGGTGACACCTACCATCCATTCCTTCTAACCCTCATATTTAACCCTTCCAAGGATAGAGCACTGGGTTTTCTTTTTGTTTTTTGTTGTTGTTGTTTTGTTTTTTTTCTATCTAAAAATCCATCCTAGGACTATGTGTAGTGAAATGGAACATATCTGTGATCCCAGCAGTCAGGAGACAGAATCAGGAAGACTGCCACAAGTTAGAGTCCAGCCTGGGCTACATAATGAGTTCCAGTCTATCCTAGGCTACATAGCAAGGCTCTGTCTTAAATAAACAAACAACAATAAAAACAAAACAAAAGCAGGTGTGGCAATGTGAGTTTGTAACCCAACACTGGATAGAGGGGTGAGGTGGCGGGGAGCTCCCTGGCTAGTCTAGCTGCAATTGTGAGGGCCAGATTCAGTGAAACACGGTGTCTCAAGATAATTGGGTAAAAATAAAATTAAAATTAAGATAAGGTGGGGAAGTAATTGAGGAAGATATCGTGACACAGCTCTGGCCTCCAAACCCACCTACATGGGCAAGTGCACCTGCACACACGTGTACACATGCATACACCATACACATATACAAAAACAATAAATTCATGCTAGGGCTAGGGTGTAGCTCAGTGTAGAGCACTTGTCTAGCATAGACAAGATCCTGGGTCCAATCTGCAGTAATGATCAAATAACAACAAGAGAAGATTTTAAGAATTCTACAAACTATAATTAGAGAGGTACTCAAAGTTAGGAGGGGAGTGAAGCATGACACCTTGTACATCAAGCATAGCAGTTTTCTGAGGAGGGAACCTGGGAGGCCTGGAAGGTCACAGGAGGTTGCATTTTCCTTATGACCCAAGAAAACTGAGGCTGGTACTTCAAAGGGTCTGCTGAGGACCACACCCCTTGTGATCAGTGAATGCAGATGAGTCTGTTCTCCTTGTCACCCATCTGAACAGGCTTGTTCTGCCATTGTTCTCATGTGTGGTCATTGCAACAGGGTGAACTCAACACACATGGGACATATATTTCACATATGTGCAATACTAATGTGTATTATTGATTCTATATAGGCTGAAATTTCACTTTTTCTTAATCTTTTGAGTTTTTTGTCTTCTTTCTCCTGGATTTAATTTCTTCAGTCTTAAAACACCAGCTTGGAGTAATATACCCAGCAGCTGGCATACTGAGAGAATTGGAGACCTTTTCTACTGAGCCAGGTCACATTCTTGGTGCTCTGGCTTCTGACTGCAGGGGGGGAGTAGGTGCTTATGGGGAGGGAAAAAGGTAGAAGGTTGAGTTTTAACAACTCTTGGTCCTTATTTTTTTTTTTTTTTTTTTTTTTTTTTTTGAGATTTTGGCCTATAGTGCCCAAGTCTACTAGTGTCAGAGTCTGGTTGGTTATTTTAATGTTTCTAGCATTATTTTAATGATTCTAGCATGCTGTGGAAGCCTATCTTTCTTGTCATAAAGTTATTACAAATTTCTTTTTTCTTCTTTGTATGTGTGGCTCTGTGGATTGAACCTAGGATCTCACATGTTTGAAGCAAGCTACCATTCAGCATCACCCCTAGCCCCCAAATTCCTATTTTATATGGTGTGTCAAAATAAGTTGTTAAATAAGAGGGAGACTCTTCTACTTAAAGCACAGTGGATGAAAATGTTAGAAAAGTACATGCGGCTGGAGATGGAGCTTAGTTAAGGAAGGGCTAAAGACCCAAGTTTAATCTCCAGAACACAGGTGAAACAGCTAGGCATGGTGATGTGCGTACATAATCCCAGTCCTGGGGATGTAAGACAAGCAGATTCCTGGGGTTCACCTGCTAGCTAACCTAGCCTACTTGTCAAATCCTAGGTCAATAGAGAATCTTCTCCAAAATAAAAACAGAAAAGGTAGACAAGATGGTTGTCACCTGAGGAGTGATGCCTAAAGCTGTTTTTTTTTTTTTTTTAAACACATACATGCATACCATGAGCATACCCTCACACATGTGCACCCTCAACACACACATTAAAATGGAACATCATGGTGCATGTCTATTAACACCAGCACTTGGAAGGTTGAGATAGGAGGCTCCAAGTTCAAGGCTATCCCCAGCTGGGCAACATGATATCCTGGAGAGAGGGTGGGGGGATGATCATTGTCTGTGATGTTTGGCTATCAAGTTTGCTGGCAGACCAGACCCCTGGTTTGATTTGTGTATTTGCCTCATTCTCGGTCTTCCCAGGATTCTGTGTGTGGCTCCAGGCCTCCCAGGTCAGATTTGGAGCAGGAGGTGGAGCAGCTGAAGATCCAGGTGATGCGCCTTCAGGCTGAAAAGGCAGACCTGCTGGGCATTGTCTCAGAACTGCAGCTCAAGCTCAACTCCAGTGGCTCCTCAGAGGACTCCTTTGTTGAAATCAGGATGGCTGTAAGAATTGTGGTCATTTTTACATGAAGCAAATGTCCAACCCGCCTCTAGACAAGTGAAAAATATATGTCAGTGTGCTGTCAACACAGCCTGTCCAAATAATGAGGGAACTCCAGAGTATAACAGAGATAAATTTGCTCTCATTTTTTTTTAAGTGTGAGATGGTGCCTAACAAGGGTCTGTTTATATTGGGATCCAATATGAGCTGAAATTTAAAAAAAAAAAAAAAATACTCCGCTATTTGGACAAAAGATAAAGTCCTCACCCTGAATCTGTCCTCCCAAGTTGGACAGTTTTCTGACTGATCTGAAAACAAAATGTCCCAAAAGAAAATCATAAGCATGAATTTTATCTTTTCTTCCCCAAGCGGAGTCTCGGAATTCTTAGATGAGCAAAATTGTGATCAAATGTTTGAATGATTTTTAAGCAGCTTAAATTATTTTTTATACAAGTGCTGTGTGGAGGTCAGAGGACTACCTTCAGGAATTGGTTCTCTCCTACTATGTTGGTACAAGGAATTGAACTCATGTCATCAGCCTTGGTGGCAAGTGTCTTAACCTGCTGAGCCGCCTTACCAACCCTTAAACTCCTTTTTAATAGTGTTTAATAGACTCTTTGCAAAGTCTAGTGCGGAACCATGATATTGGAAATAGGAGGGGCTGAAAAGATGGCTCAGCAGGAGAAGGTGTTGGCTACATAAGGCTGACAGCCTGAGTTTGGTGCCTGGAACCCACATAAAGGCAGAAGGAGAGCACTGGCCGTAGAGTTGTCACCTGACCTGTGTACCTGCCCCACAGCACAAGCACCCACACATACACATAAAAAGTAAAATTTTAATGATAAAACATACTGGTTGTGTAGCTCAAATTGGTAAGAGTGCTTGCCCACAAATTGGACATGTGAAGCAAGCAAGCCTCCTGGGGACACATGAAACAATTACCCACAATTTGCTGTCAACACAGCTAAGCCACATGAAGAGTAACAGTGTAACAGATAAATTGGTTATTAAATTTTGCCAAGCCAGTTGCCATTATACATTTGCTGCACCACTGCCTGTTAGGGAACCAAAGCCTAAAGACTCAGACTGATAGGATTCAATAAGCTAATGGAGTAAATCTTCACAAATGCACAAAGATAGCTTGGGATGCTTTGGCTACACGTTCCCTAAGCCATGGACAGAGTTTTCCAGCTCGCAGAATCAAAGTGAAGCCCATTTACACTCACAATGGCCTTCACTCATCTGAGAGGCAGCAGATGATGCTAAGCCTGGGAGAAGCCTCATTTGGAAACGTGTTTATTTTTTTAAGAGTATAGCACCGGGCAAGGGTTGTCCTGGATGCATGTGAGGGATGCAGTAAAGAAACCATCGAAATCGCCAATCCACTATTAGGAGGGAAATTTTTGTCATGATTAAGAGAGAGAAAATATCCAGAGGCATCTAGAAGAGTCTGTACCAAAGAGAAAAGGAACCAGGGCTATCTGCAAGAGTAGCTGGGTGGGGTAGGGGCAGTATGGAAAAATCATTTGTCTTTTAACAAGTAGGAGGACAAGTAGCTAGGGGAAGATGTGGAACAGGCCTGGAAATTTAGGGTAGGAAGGAAGGAAGCAGGAGGAGGTGAGAAGGATAACAGCACATGTGAATAGGGACTGTAGAAACCTGGAGCCCAGCCTGGGCTTTGATGTGCAGCTTATGTCAGCAGAGAGCATTGCCTGCCAGGGGCATGGGAAATAACTCCTTTTGGCAGTTCACAAGTTCTGAGGAATGCTGGCTTTTGTCTAACCACCAGAAATCCTTCCATAGTTCAGCCTGAGCTGAGCCAAGACTGTCCTTCTAGACATGCTCACTACTTTTTGTGGTTTTGGGAATTGGAGTTTCCTTTGGACCTGACACTAGCCATGTAAGCCTGACAATTTATGCTTGCTGTATGAAGCCCTGGGCTCCATCTCTAGTCCACATAAACAGAGTGTAGTAGCACGCACCGGTAATCCTGGGACTCAGAAGGTGGAGGCAGGAAGATCAGATTCAAGGTTATTCTAGGCTAGATAGCAAGTTCAAGGCCAGCCTATGATACATAAAACCTTGTCTCAAAAAGAGGAGTGGGGTGGCTGGAAATATGACTCAGCAGTTAATACCCTTCCAGAGGGCCTGAGTTCCATTCCCAGCATCCACACTGGGTGGCTCACAACTTGCCTATAATTCCAGCTTCACAGCACTGACACCTCTTATGGCTTCAGATGGTACCTGTACTCACCTACAGTTACTTACATACCAATACATACATGCATATAATCAATAATAAAATAAATATTGGGGTGGGAGAAGGAAGAACAGAGTTACTCTGGGTGTATATTGAAGAGGGTCTGGTCTTTACCTCCTTGCTACAAGCTATGACTTGGCTTCTGAGGATAGAGTTTGAAGCCAGAACTATCAAACTTAAATTCTGTGCAAAGTGAAATGGCCAACTGAGGCAGTGCGTACTGATCCCTGAGCTCTTGTGGGGTGTCCCTTTTGATGGGATCTGAGTGCACTAAGTCCCATAACAGCAAAAAGCAGATGGATAAGCACTAAAGAGACCTCTCCTTCAGTGCTGCTGAGAAATACCTGAATTGAGGGTAAGAACTACACCAGGACAAAATCCTTCTTAATAGAAGTGTCATTTCCACTTTGTCAGAGTTCATGTCTGATGTAAGAAAAGAAATTAAGAAGAGAAGTGTACTTTGTAGATAAAGTCAGGAAATGCACAACAGCTTGTAAGACATCAAAGGTACCAGATAGACCTGGAGTAGTTAGTGTGGGACTCCTTACTTACCAACTGCCCAACAGATCAATCCAGTTGGAAAATGACCCTCTAAGAAATTTTAGGTGTATTCGGAGTGCTCAGAATGAGGATTTGAAAAGCATACTTCTCCACAAGTGGCTGAACATGACTGAGACACAAAGTTAAGAGGTTTAGCCCTGTAAATTGCTGATAAAAGTCGGGAAACCCAGACATTTTATCACAAGTTTCCAAATGAGGCCTCTCCCAGGGTTAGTATCATCTGCTGCCTCCCAGATGAGTGATGGTTATTGTGAGTGTAAATGGGCTTCACTTTGCTTCCGTGAACTGGAAAACTCTGTCCATGGCTTAGGAAGCGTGTAGCCAAATCATCCCAAGCCATCTTTGTACATTTGTGAAGATTTACTCAATTAGCTTATTGAAATATAACCAGCTCACAAATCCTGTCAGTCTGAGTCTTTAGGCTTTGGTTCCTTAATAGGCAGTGGTACAAGCAAATGTAAAATACCAGCTGGCTTGGCAAAACCACTGCTTTATAAGCCTCATCCACATGTTTATGGAGTAGGTTGAGTGTATTCTGTAGCAGGAGGTGGACCTTCATGCCTTAGCTTAGATATTTCTAGTCCTGACAGGGTGTGCAGGCCCAGAGGAGAGTGTTTTCTGTCTCATTTAAGTGACCCAATTTAGATCTTATCTCATACAAAAGCTGAGTATTTTTCCTGTGTGGAATCTTTTCTTTATCTTTTGACACGGGGTCTGTCTTGCACACCTATTGTATTCAGTCCCTTTCTTCTCTGCTTTTACAGGAAGGAGAAGCTGAAGGGGCAATGAAGGAAATGAAAAACAGTCCTATACCTACAAGGACAGACTCCATCAGCATGTAGGTGATGGACCTCTGGAGTTGTCGGGTGCACAGAAGGGCAATCTTGTCACTTTGAGCCTATCATTGGAGGTTAGGCATGATGGACTGAAGTAACTTGCCTTTTTTCTGAGGAAGGGTCTTCCTCTGTGATCAGGGTTGATTTGAACCTGCAGCCACCCTGCCTCAGCTTCCCACGAGCTAGCATTCATTTTCAACGGTATTTAATGTTGCAGCCTAAACTGGTAGGGAATCAAAGCCATATCTGGTGCCTTTTTTAGGCAAACAGTGCTGACCCTCTGTTAGAAATGTAAGCAAATTCATCCTCAGTCAAAAAGGGACTTTTCCCTCATCAGCATCCCTGTATTTGTTCATTCGTTTGCCAGAGCTGCTCGAAGTGAACAGGCTGTGCAGCTTCCTTAAATGGGATGGGCCCCTTTTCTCTTCCCTGTTCTCTCCTGATTATAATAAGCCACAGTAACCACACTAGCTACTGAGGCAAAGGCTGTGACAGCTGTCAGTCACTCGGACATTTCATGAAAGTACCCCAGATCTTTTCCCTTAACTTAGTAGTAGTAGTATGATGGGGAGGGAACGTGCCACAGCACACATGTGGGGGCCACAGGACAGTTTATGGAAATCTGTTCTCTCCATTATGTGTGCTCTGAGGGCCAAACTCAGGCCATCAGACTTGATGGTGACATCTTTATCCACTGAACCTCAAAAGTCCAGGAACTTAACCTATGGAATCTCAACTCTGCCTTTCCCAAGCAGACCCTTGGAAACAGACAAGTAATGGGAGGGCCTTTAGCAGACGCTGTAGAAGAACTGGGCACTGAACTTCTTGGTTCTTGAAACCATTATTACCCAAAGCTATCAGTTCCGTTATCTCCGTGTGTGCATGCAACATTAGTCCATTTGCCTGTCAGTTTGCTCACAATTTCTCTGCATCTCCTATCTCATGAACTTTTCAAACCATTTTTTTTTACTTGATAAATATATAGAGAGAATGACACAGAATAAGTAACAGAACATTTCTTAGGTCTGTCCTTATGTTTTCATGTCATGGAGAATGCAAATAATAACAGTTTTTTACTAGAGTAATTGGTATAAGTGAGTGTTATCTCTCTCTCCTCTCTCTCTCCCTCTCTCTCTCCCTCTCTCTCTCTCTCTCTCTCTCTCTCTCTCTCTCTCTCTCTCTCTGTGTGTGTGTGTGTGTGTATGTGTGTTTTTAAAATTCAACTTTTCCCAGATTGCTGCTTTTAATATCCAGACTTTCCTGGAAGTAGAAGGAAGAAAGAAAGAAAGCTGTATTTGTAATGTTTAAGCCACTTCCTCTTCATTTGTTTCCATATGCAAAGACATCTTCCTCTTTCAGGCCAATAGCCCTTGCCTTTATGAGTCTGGTAAGGGATCTGGTATGGCTTCTAGGCTTGAAACATCACCTCAGAGCCTTTAATCCTGGCTGTTAGATATGTGAGCCTAGCAGATGAAAGACTAGCTTCTGTCCCTGCCATCTTTGTCATCACTCTGTACATTCCATTAAGGGAGATGGTCCTCATTGCTTGTTTACTGTGAATGTGTCTCTTGATCAGATTTCTGAAACTTAGAAAAATATTTGCCAGTAGTGTCTACATGCCTCTGCTTTGTGTGAAACCAAACCCAGGAAAGTTTTTCTCCCCTCAACTCAACAAAAATGATAGACTACAAAGTTGGAGTAGGCAGTGTTTGGAAACCAGATCTCTGGAGATTCCAGCACCTCCAGCCACTGTGGATGCAGTAACTCTTTGGAGTGAGTGCTCACATTATGAGAGTAGCTTCCTTGAAGCATTATGTTAGTCCCCATGGCCTTCCCAGCATGAATAGAAGGGTTAAATAGTGTCCACAGGATCAGCTGTGCTTGGGGCAGTTAAGAATTAACTAGAGGACATTGTTTTCGGTTGTATTGGGCTTCTCTGGTCTTACTCTTAACATTTTTGTCGAGTTTAAACCCTTTTTAATTTCTATACTGAATGCGGTGGTGATATCTTTTTAGGACCAAATCTACAGAAGATGCCAGGACTTGTGTGGAGTTTGAGGAATTAACTGTAAGCCAACTCCTGCTTTGCCTAAGGGAGGGAAACCAAAAGGTGGAGAGACTTGAAGTCGCACTCAGAGAAGCCAAAGAAAGGTATGAACTATTAATGTGAAAAAATAATGGCTTTAGTAAAACACAAATAAGGTACCATGCAGATCACCCTTTAAAGTGTACATTCCAAGGCTTTTCGTCACAATATAGTCTTAGAACATTTCTCCCCATATAAAGAACCTACCCCTCAGCATTCATTACCCATTTCTCCCAGGAACTGACTCTCTGTCTTTGGAGATCTCCACATACTGGACTTTTATATAGGATTGGTCTTCTGTGACTGACTTCTCCCATTCACCATAGTGTTTTTGAGCTTCATCCACAATGTCGTGGAATTCTATTCCTTAATGCTAGTGAATAATAAAATAGAAGATGTGTAAGCTTGGCAGCTTGCTAATCATACATTCCTAGTCTTCCTGCTTTCAAACAAAAAGAACAAAAATGCAGCTCTCTCCCTAGATACCAGAAGATTTATAGCTCTTTAGAGGTGCACGCCTAACCCTAAGTACCCTGAAAAGGTTCCTCTTTCGATAACATTGAACTTGTGACCCAGATGACTCTCAGTATTTAACAGGGCAAGCCAGTAAGCAGTTGCAGAGATTCATATTCTCTACATGGTACCAGGGTAGTGGGTGCTTCTCAGACAAGGCAGGACTGAAGCCAAGACACATCATGGGCACACATGGTCACACACCCTGATTTGCCCACACTGAAGTCGGTTATGGAACAAGCACATTGCAAGACCAACCCTGTGTTTTTCTAAAATAAGTGGGCCAGATTTCAGCCTTTCTCCACCACCACTGGAAACAAGAGTAAAGGTGTTCTACATTTGATTTTAATAAAATAAAATTTGAAGTGATATATGGGGAAAGGGACAGTAGTAGGTTTGCCTTTCGGTCTTCTTTGGGGTATGTGTAGCTTTCACGTTTCATGTAATTTTTAGGGCTTTTTGTTTTAGTCTTGTCATTTTGAGCTTTGGTTTCATTTGTTATTTGGGTTTTTTGTTGTTTTGTTTTGAGGTGGAATCTCACTATGTATCCCTGGCTGGCCTGAAACATGCTGTGATAGACCATGCTGACCTCACAGAGACCCACCTGCCTCAACTCCCAATGCTGAGATTAAAAGTGTGCATGCTACAACTGGCTTAATATGCATTTTGTAAATAAGCCAGTAAGAGGAAAGAAGTTGTGTAGGAAATGTAGCCCATTTAAAAAAGAAGAAGAGGAAGGAAGGAAGGAAAAAAAGAGAGAAAAAGAAGTAGCAAGGGAAAGATGATTCAAAGTGAATATTTGCCCCAGAAAATTAAGATAACTTGAAATTCAAACCTAGGTCAAAACCTGTGTGAAATGTGAACAGGACTACAGTGTTAATAAGCCCACCCTCCTGCCTGTACCACCTAGCGCCTCATCTGTGTATTCAGCCTAGCCAGAGAGACAATTAGATTTGACAGTTTGTAACACGGAATAATAAACAAAAGCTGGCTCTGCAGCCTTCCCATTGAGAAGCAGTGCTCTGGCCAGCCCCTCCCCACCCACACTTTCCCTGCTTCTCAGTCACTTTCTACCCATCCGCTTGGTTCTTTTGGTAGCTGCCTTCATGGATAAAATTTAAATTGTCATTTTCTTTGAAGATTTTAATTATGACATATTGACCTCTAAGTTTGGATGAGGAAGATGTGTTTTGAACAACCATCATCAACACAGTACATTTCTGGAACTTTCTCTACCACTTGTTCCTAGCTGAAATCAATATTTCTGAACTTTAGTCAAATGACTAATCAGTGTCCATGTTACTGAACATTTAGACACATGCACACAACATATATGTGAACTCACAGTTGAGCCATGCACTGTGCAATAATCACTTTTCCTTCACATACTTTTTATATCTCAGTGCAAAGTTAGCCATTTAAACATTTGTTTAATGTCTTGGTCTGTTTCCTACTCCTTTAACAGAATAGGTTATAAACTGTGGAAGTATATTGAGCCTACAGTTCTGGAGGCTTCCAACAGAAAACAGTCCAGCTTTAGGGTCCAGCTTTTACCCAAGCCTTTTAATAGGAACTCACTCCTGAGATGATAGCTTCCATGAGGGCAGGGCTGCTACAGTGCCGTGGCAATTAAGTGTCAACATGAAGGGCTGAGACATGGCTCCTCAGTTAAAAACATATACTGCTCTTACAGAGGACCTTAGTTTGGTCCCCAGCACCCACGCTAAATGACTCATAACTGCCTGTAATTCCAGCTCCAGAGGATCTGACACCCTCTCCTGAACTCTGTGTTCATATGAGTGTGTGCATGCACACACGTACACAAAGTTAAAGATAAAATTCCCCTACCCCCCAAAAAAAAAATTCACCATGAGTTTTAGAGGGGGTGTTCTGATTATAGCTCCAAGTTTTCCCAATGTCTCAATTACATCTCTACTGATGTACTGAGAAAGAATTTTGAAAATATTTTCTGGATCTGCCTACCAAAAAATCTCTACTTTTATACTCAAACAGTTTGGCTAAATAGAGAACTCTAGGCTGGTTGTTCCATATGAAGTTTTGGTTTTACTGCTGAGAAACCCATTGCCGTTCTGATTCTGATTCTTTTTGGATGAAACTTTTTTTGGTACTGTTTTTTCTTGCCCCTGATGGTTCTTCCATTTATCCCAAGTAGTCTGAAAATTGACCATGTTTTGATTTTGGGCTGTGTTTTCATTTGTTCTGGCTTCGATTGAACCCTTTCATTCTGCAAACTCCTGGTCTTCTGTCATTACAAAGCAATCTCAAATAATGTAGGGATTTTGTCCTAACTTGGTCCCTTTCCACTTTTATATCTTCTATAACCTGCTATCAGGTTATAGCTAGAACTGGTCATGTGATTTTCTTAACTTGTGTTCCTCTCTCGCTCACTCTCAGATCTGACCAATGTTCATCTTTTTAGGATAGTTTTAATGCTTAATGGGTGCAAATAATGTCTTGGGTCTTGGATACTAATGATAATGTCTCCTTTATACTGCTATGTTCTATTTTCAGTACAGAATATGTTTTATTTCAAGGTTTTCTTCAAATGTCTAATGATCTTGACTGGTCAGAGTTACCAGGGAGGAGAGCTGGAAGCTACTAAAAGCTTTGGAAAGACTCAGCTCGGGGATTTTCTTGGTGAGGCTGTGTCTTGGTGAGGCTTTGCCCATTCCTGACCAGTTCTACAGAGAGGATGCCTCCAGTCTCCTGCTTAGAGAATATCTTTCTAGACATCTTGAGATGAAAAGGAGAGGGCAGGGTTTCAGTTGTCTAATGTAAATTCCCTTCCTTTAGATAGGAAGCCCAGTCCCTCAACTGCTGAACATCTCTGCATCCTTAGCCCCCTTATTTTGCTATTTTCCAGTTGCCTTATCCCCCATCCTGTGGATACTCATGGAATCCCCAGTTCCCAAGCCATAAAGAATTTCAGCAGTACGACTCATATGAACGCAGAGGTCAGGAGAGGGTGCCAGATCCTCTGGAGCTGGAATTACAGGCAGTTGTGAGTCATTTAGTGCGGGTGCTGGGGACCAAACTTAGGTCCTCTGTAAGAGCATTATATACTCTTAACTGAGGAGCCACTTAATTGCCACGGCACTGTAGCAGCCCTGCCCTCATGGAAGCTATCATCTCAGGAGTGAGTTCCTAATAAAAGGCTTGGGTAAAAGCTGGACCCTAAAGTTGGACTGTTTTCTGTTGGAAGCCTCCAGAACTGTTGGCTCTCCCTACTCTTGCTTTAGGGTCTAGCTTTCTTAGAACTCTAACCATGCCCTACTTATTCTGTATTAAATGTTTATTGTTACTGCTGTTGTCCCTTTGTTCCTCTAGGCATGTGGGTGTTTGAAAGTCTCATTTGTAGGATTTGTAGTTGAAGAAAAGTTGCGTGCACACATGAAACCTACTACGTGTATGTACTTAAGTACTGGAGATTGAAGCCAGGGACATAGGCATGCTCGGCAAGGACTCTACCACTGATACACATCCCCAGCTCTATTTGTGCTTTCTATTTTGATACAGGGTCCTCTTAAGTTCCCAAGACTGGCCTTGAACAGCAATTGTTAGATCACCCAGGCAGCCTTTGAACTTGTGACTTTCTTACCTCAGATTCCACAGGAGCGGAGATTACAGAACTACACACAGGCCAACCAGTCTTCCTCCTTCAACCGCAGTCTCTCTTTGCTGTATCTGTATTGAGACACCTATGTTCTATGTGTATTCATGTTGAGTCACAGCAGATCTAGCCAGCCTTAGGGTGAAGAACAAGAACACTGGTAATGAGGCAAATATAAAGACTTTGAAAATACCTCTTCTTCCAGGCTTTGATAGCACTCATTGGCATTTCATATCCTCCTGCAGAAAGTCTAACTTTTCTACACTCCTATGTTGGTGTTTTTCAGAATTGCAGAGTTTGAAAAGACAGCAAATAACTATTCGGAGATTGAGACCCAGACAGAGGGGAGCATAGAAGAGGATGAAGATGACAAAGACTCAGAAAGTGTGGGTATTGTACACTTCCACAAGACTGTCATACCCCCATTGGTGATGTGGTTGTGGGTTCAAGGTTTATGTTATGCTATTTACTTTGGAGATAGAAACTTCTTGTTCATTGCTGGATATTTTCTATTTCTCTTTCATTTCCTAATCCTGGGTTTGAAGTCCATGTCAATCACAGTAAGATTTGCAGTCTGCACTACATAAAACACTCATATCTCTTCTTGACTGATGTTGCCCCCTAAATCCTTAAGCCAACAACTTTTGACTATGTTATGGTGAGATCCTTTGTGGACATGGCTCTGAAATTTTAGAATTGGAAGATGTTGGTTCTGTCTCAGCGATGGTAGCCACAAGGAAGTTGGCATTTAAAAAAAAAAAAAAAAACGGTTCCTGAATATATATTCATTGTTGTGATTTAGAGTTATGCCTTTGACCTTTGAACCTAAAAGAGTTTTAGCTTAGGTAGGACTACCAAAGGTAGGAAATTATGGTACTGACAGTAGCCCATAACAGAGAGAGAAGCATATAAAATAGTCCTTTTGCTCAATTTATTCATCAGCATATATACACACACACCACTACCTGCTCCTTCCTTCTTTCCCTCTTTCCTTCCTTCTTTCCTTCCTTCCTTCCTCCTGGGGGAAAAAAGAAAGAAGGCAGGAGGGATGACATTATCTTATTATGCAGCCTACGCTAAGCTCTGACATGACAGTGCCCTGTAATTCCAGTGCCTGGCAGGCTGAGATAGGTGTATTTTGAGTTTGAGGACAGCTTATACTACATAGCAAGTTCTAGACCAGCACAGAGCACAACTACAAAAATAAAATGGTGAAGGGGTAGCAGGTGGAAAGGGAACACAGTGAACTTAGATGAAGAGAGAACTTCTGCAGAACAGCACACCATTAACTGAAATGAACCAATAGTTATGAGAAAGTATTGACATTTCTAAGCTGTCATTGAAACTCATGTACAAATTGGCAACTGGCAGGGTTCCAGGAAAAGAGCTGTATAACAGATTAATGACATGGGCTAGAAGCAGAAGTTGGCAAGACAGTAGGGTCCAAGTTTTCCCCAGATGGATGACAAGATTTCATTTCCATACTTCATGTGACCTGTGATCCCTGAAGCATGAGTAGGCCATGGACTGATAGTTAAATCTATTATCTATGCTCAGACTGATAGTTAATGCTCTACCTACCCAGAAGACTGCTTTCCCCACAAGGCCCTTGGGGAGATCTTGCCCAAATTAAATCTACTTGGGGTGTCAGTGTTAGCTGGATACTATGGTGCGGGCTGTTTTCTCACACAAGGTTCACTCTCTCTCTCTCTCTCTCATGGTTATCTTATGTGAATGTCCTGCATCGTCTGTGTGATAGGTTGGAAGTGAAGTGGAAGCATTGAATGTTCGAGTGACATCTCTGTTTAAGGAGCTTCAAGAGGCACACACGAAACTCAGTGAGGCTGAGCTAATGAAGAAAAGACTTCAAGAAAAGTAATAACTCAGTTCATTTTACTGCATGGTTTATGAAGTATGTTACTGTATGAAAATAGTTTTGCTACTATATTCCTGCTGGGGAGAAAAAAAAAAAAAAAAAAGGCAGGGACCTAACAGAAATATGGTTCAGAAAAAAGGAGTCTTGGTGTTGGTGTATAAGCCCGGGTCATGAGGACACAAGAGGGCTTGGTTGTACTGTGAAGAGCACCAGCCTTTGCAACCTTTGTACTGAGCTGTGAGGTTAATGACCAAGCAAAAGATATCCGGGACGAGCATAAGAATCGAATGGGGATTATTAGAAAAGGCCCCTCCCAATCAATTATTTCAGTCATTAAAGCTGACATAGACATTGATAATTTGGCCCTTGCTTGTGTTTCTTGATATAAGAAATTATCTAATGACTAAGAATTTAGCTGATGGGTTGCAGTGCTTGCCTAGCATGTTCCAGGTCCTGTTTAACACACAAAACTGAGGTAGGGCTGGGAGTGGGGAGTCATCCAAGCCAGGAATAATGGCACAATACTTTGATCTCAGCACTGGAGAGGCTGAGGCTGGAAGGTTGGTAGTTTGAGGCCAGCCTGAACTAAATAGTGTAAAAGGGGGAGGGCAGGAACTAATGAGATGACTCCATGGGCAGACACTTGCCTCCGAGCCTGACAACCTGAGGTCCTTAGTTCCAGATTTCCCAAACTGTCCTCTGACTTACTCATGCACACCCCGATACATATGCACAAAACAAACAAGTAAACAAGTGTTAAAGAAGGGTTAGGCAAAGCTAGCAAACCAAGTAAAACTAAGCTGATGTCACGCTGGTCAAGCAGTGTAACCTCCCTGAGCCTCAGTGTTGTCAAACTTCATATATACATATAGTATTGTGATGAGAGCTATTTAATGTGCTTGGCATTAATGCCCTGCACATAGCTATCATTTACTTGGCTTCTACTATTATTCCATTCAAGTTCTCTTTCTGGTCTCTAAGGGAAGCTCAGGGGCTTTCCTTTCCTCATACTGAACCCTTGTCAGAAATCCAAGTCTTTGTGACAGATAGACTTTTGAAACTCTGAAAGGTACCCAGGGATTTCTCTATGAGATGCTCCTTAACCAGCTACCACTTGATTAGGGTTTACAATATCACCATGTCTCATTTAAAAAACAAGGGAAAAGGAAACAAAACAAAAAGCAAATAGGAAGCAAAGAGAACCAAGTATTTTATTTTGCCTTCATAAATCCTGTAGACCTAACACACTGTGTATTTTAAATCCTTTGGGGATTTGTGCAGAAGCCACAGGAGTGACAAAGCATTATTTCTCCTCTTGAAACACTCATCTTTTTCAGGTGTCAGGCTCTGGAAAGGAAGAACTCTGCCACCCCGTCAGAGCTGAATGAGAAGCAAGAGCTTGTTTACAGCAACAAAAAGTTGGAGCTGCAGGTGGAGAGCATGCGCTCTGAAATCAAGATGGAGCAAGCTAAGACAGAAGATGAAAAGTGAGTGCTGTGAGGGAGGGCGCTTGCCACAAGGGGAAGGACAGCTGTCCAGATGCAGATTGGAAGTGGGACTTGAGAACCATATCATAAAATCTGTTTTGACATTTGGAAGAGTTCTTTGGGAGGATTAAATTTTTGAGTTGTAACAAAAATATGAAAATTATTTTTCCTATCTTTTGGGGAGAAAGACAGTCTTTTGGAAGACATCATTTTCTTTGAGGCTGACTCGTGGTAGTTCCAGTTTCGTTTCCATTACTGTGATAGAATATCCCAACAGAAGCAACTTTGTGGACCAAGAGTTTATCTTGGTTTGCAGTTCCACATTCCTACCTCTTATTGGGAGGAGGGAGGTCAAGGTGGTGTGGGCTTGGAGCAGCTAGTCACATCCACAGTCAAGAGCAGAGAAATAAATGCTTAGTTCTCAGCTGGCCTTTTCTACTTTTATATAATCCAGTGCCCTAAACTAGGGAATGGCAGGTACCACCTGCTTTCAAACTGGGTCATCCTCATGGACTAAGGCCACTAAGACAATAGATGTGTCCATAAGCCAACCTGAGCAAAATGTTCCCTCACTGAGACTTCCTTCTCAGGTGATTCTAGGTTGTGTCAGGCTGACAGTTTTATTTTTTATTATTTACTTACTTAATGGTTTTACAAGACAGGGTTTCTCTGTGGCTTTGGAGGCTGTCCTGGAACTAGCTCTTGTAGATCAGGCTGGTCTCAGACTCACAGAAATCCGATTGCCTCTGCCTCCCAAATGCTGGGATTAAAGGCGTGTGTCACCACAGCCCCGCTTCAAGCTGACAATTAAAGGTTGGTGGGATGGTAAAAGCAGAGATTTTTTTCCTACTTGAGTTTTCAAAGGCTGTTAGGGAAATAAAACGAGTTTATGTGGTATTTCCTTAATGATTCCATTTTTAATATCATATTTTAATAGATCCAGGTTAGCCACTCTGCAGTCAGCACACAACAAGCTTCTTCAAGAACATAATAATGCACTGAAAACAATTGAGGAACTAACCAAAAAACAGGTATTTATAGAGGAAAAATGTACTGCCATAGCCTAGTTGATGGAAATCATTGAACATTATATCTACAAAAAAATTGCATGACCCCTCGACTAAGTCTGGTTTCAGAAATCATTTTGAGTTTATCAATTGTGTCAAAATCATTGTAGCTTTTCATATTGTGCCTATTATAGAACATGCCTTGTGTGTCAAGATGGTGCTGATGTCTACTAGGCAGGGCATGGGCCTTTTCCAGTTTTCAGGGTATGTTTGGAGAAGAGCTGAGAGCCTGAGCTCCTACGTGAACAGTGTACTGGGAGACAGCTGACTATGACCATCTGCTGAATAAAATTATGTAAGGGCATCTTGCCTGCTGGCAGTAAAGTTGGAGCCCTGGATTTACAGCATTTAACTTAAATTAGTAACAATGCCCAGCATGGCATAAAATTTACAGACCATGGAATCTTTGAATGAAATCTTTCAATTTATATCCTTATAAATACACTCTTTGCCACTCCCTCCTTCCCCTCTTTTCTCCCTCCTTCCTTCATTCCTACAGTGGGGATTAAATCTAGAGCCTCCTGCATGCTAGACAAGTATTCTACTATTGAGCTACATCATCCTCCACCCTTCGAGTCTTACAGTCTCAGAATTACCCTGAGCAGGCTTGAATTTGCAATCCTACTGCCTCAGCATCCTGAGTAGCTAAGATTATAGGCCTCTACATAAGCCCAGTTTTCCTTTCTTTTCCTTTTCTGTGTGTGTCCACAAGCATACTGGTGAATACATGTGGAGGCTGGAAGTTGATGTTTGTTATTTTTTGAGACAGTCTATCTTAGTTTTTGAGTGTCTCTCTAATTGAACCAATTGGCTAGGCTGGCTGGCCAGCAAGCTGAGGAAACTCCTGTCTCCCCGTCCCCAGCACCAGGGGTGCAGACAAGAGTCACCATCACATCTGGCTTTACATGATGCTGAGGATCTGGACTCAGGTCTTCATACACACAGCAGGCACTTTATGGACTGGATAATCTTCCAGCCCTTTTTATTATTTATTTATTTATTTATTTATTTATTTATTTATTTATTATTAACAAAATAAAAGAGCTAGGCATGATAGCACATGCCTTTAATCCCAGCACTCAGGAGGCAGTAGCAGACAGATCCTGAATTTGAGACCAACCTGATCTACAAAGCAAGTTCCAGGACAGCCAGGGCTGTTACACAAAAGAAAAAAAAAAAAAAAACCAACAAAACCCTGTTTCAAAAAACAAACAAACAAAAAGACTATTATAATTTAATAGCTTTAAAAAATCCCACATTTATTTATTTAGAGAATGAGTCTCTATGTAGCCTTGGCTAGCCTGGAACTCACTGTGTAGACAAGGCTGGCCCTGCCTCCTAAGTGCTGGAATTAGTGGTATGAGCCATAAGGCCCAGCAAGGATACATCCCTTTTAAATATAAACGTGTAGCAAGATAAATAACAGTATCCATGCCTGACAAGCCCATCAGAGTAGGGCTTGTTATTATTGTGTATTTGACAGTTACCCGGTGTTTGATGTATGCTAAAGAACTGAACTCATATACTGTGAAGAGTGCTATGTTCAGGGCTACCTTTTAAGAAATTGTTTTCGACGAGCAAGTGATTTACAACTTCCTGAATGAATCGTCATTGCTAAGTAACAGACTGGAGCTGACAGTTTTTAAGTGTAAACCTTTCTATTTTCCTAAAGTAGGCTGCACCATTTCGAAGCCATTTCTAGACTAAAATTGTACTTTTTTCTTCAGGCAGAGAAGGTGGACAGGATGATGCTTCAAGAGCTCCATGAAAAGCTGGAGCTGGCAGAATGGGCTCTGGCATCCAAGCAGCTTCAAATGGACGAGATGAAGCAGACCATTGCTAAGCAGGAGGAGGACCTGGAAACCATGGTTGTCCTCAGGACTCAGGTGAGACATGGTCTAGAACATGAGCCGAGTGAGGGCAGCCCTGATCAGATTTTACAGTATGACAGTGGTGGTGCTTAACATATACAACGATTCTTTATATTCTTTCTGCCAATGTTTTTGTCATCGTTGTTCTGGTTTGCTTTGTTTTATTGATACACAGTCTTACTGTATAGCTCTGGCTGATTCAGGCCTTACTATGTAGACCAGGCTGGCCTTGAACTCACAGAGATCTGCCTGCCACTGCATCCCCAGTGCTAGGATTAAAGGCATTCACCACCATGCCTACCCAATGGATTTTTTTTTTTTTTTAATTTAAATCATGGTTGTGCATGCCTGAAATTTTAGCACTTAGGAGGTAAGGGCATCAAGAGTTCAAGACCAGCCTTAGACTCACAGGTATAAATATTAAAGACTAAAGAAGCCAGCCATCATACCTGGCCTGGGTGAGTATTTTGGAGACAAGATGTCACACAGCTCAGGCTGGTCTCTTTTTCCTTAGTAATGTTTTCAATCTTAGTAGTTTCTTATCTTTCATAAGACTTATTTCTAAATATTTTATATTTATATAGTCTATTATAAATGATGTTTTGTGGGACAGTGGGTAGTTTTGTTTTTGAAACAAGGCCTATTGTAACCCAGGCTACCTAAATTTGCTATGTAGCCAAGGGTGACCTTGAACTCGTTTTATGCCTTTACTTTCCAAATACAGAGATTGCAGGCCTGTGCTACCATGCCTACCTTTATAATAGTTTCTTTCATAAGATTTGCTATTAAATAAAAATACCAAACACAAGTTAAAAAAAAAAAAAAAAAAAAACACACACACACACAACTGGATATGGTGGCTTGTACTTGTGATCCCAGTGCTTGAGGTTCCCTGGCCAGCCAGTCTAGCACACTTGAGGAGTTCCAGGCCAGTGAGGGGTGCTGTCTCAAAAACCAAGGTAGATGGCCCCGGAGGAATGACAACCTCACTTGTCCTCTGGCCTCTACATATACACGTATACGTATGCTTCCATACACCAGTGCACACACACGGTGGGGGGTGATTAAATCATTAAACACTCTGCTTATCTTAAAGTTAAATAAACACTACCAACTTGTCTCACAAAAATACATAACCAGAATTCTCCCAGGAGGGCCCCCAGGTCTTTACACCCTGGTATTATTTACTTAGAAATGATACCAGGGTTCATTATCACCAGGTGCTCACTGTGACCAAACCCTAGGGCGGAGCTTGTGCCAGTGGTTTTAATTTCATCGCCACTGGAGCCTGCTTCCCAGAGCCTTGAGCAACCCACCTCACACCGTGGCTTCTCTGCTGCCCCAGGGCCATGTGTTTGTGTCACATCTGCACACGAGCATTTGTTTTGGTAGATGCTCTTGTTCACTCAGCACCTCTCCTTTATGTATATCAGAAGGGGGGGTCATACTCTCAGTGCTGGTACAGGAAGGGACAGCACAGAGACCCCATTTTTACTGGCTCAAAGCTAGAAAGTCATAGAAGTGAGTCTCCTCCATGATCATTTACTCATGCCATAGCATGTGAGGGAAGCCTCCTAAGTGATTCCTTCATTACATATATTACATACCTTTGGTAATTAGAGTTTTGAGAAGTGCTTAGCATGTATGACTCTTGCAGAAGACCCATGTCAGGCAGCTCACAACCACTTGTAACTCCAGCTGCAGGGAACACAACACCTTCTTCTGGCCTCTGTAAGGTACTGCACACATGTATACATGTATGCATGTGAACATATGAGTGTACACACACACACAAATAATAATCTTTAAAAAAAAAAGAAAGAAAGAAAGAAAAGAAAACTTAGTACCAGGTACAATGGTGTATGTCTGCAATCTTAGCACTCAGAAAGCAGGTCATATTGACAAACACATGATTACAAGTTTGAAGTGAACCTCGTCTGCATATTGAGTTCCAAGCCACCCAGGGCTACCTAATGAGATGTCTCAAAATTACAACAAAACAAAGAAATACAAAGGATTAAAAATTCAAATGTTATGAGTATGGTTTTTCCACCAGCCTGGTCACACCGCGGCGCCAACCCCAATTAACACACAGAGACTCTGTATTTGATATAATGCTGTTGGCCAGGTACTAGTTTCTTATTGGCTAGCTCTGTCTTAATTATTAACCCATTTCTATTAATTTAAGTATTTCCATTTCTATTAATCTAAGTATTTCCATGTGGTCTCATCTTAGTGGAGAGTGGGCCAGGATCTCAGTTCTCTCCTCTCTACTTGCTGATTCCTCCTTGCTACTTCCTCGAATCCTCCTTGTCTCCTAGTCCTGCCTATCTTGCTTTCCTATTGGCCAACAGTGCTTTATTCATTAACCAATATGAGAAACATATTTACAGAATGACATTTCCCATCATTCAAATCCTCCATTCACTATGAAATTCTTTCATGTTGTAATTTGAGAACAACAAAATCCCTGCCATAATGTATTTGTTATCTACTTTTCTATATGGGACATTATCCCCAAAGTACAGCAGCTAAAAACAGAAGCAAATGTTTGTTGTCTAACTCAGAGTCTCCCATGAAGCTGCACTAAGGATGGACTTGGCAAGCCATTTCAAAATGACTCAGTCACATGGCTGTCAGGAGGCCTCCCTGTGTGGGCCTCCACAGAGGCTTGCTCATTGCATGGCAGCTGGCCTCCCCCACAGCACAAGATCCAGAAGAGAGCAAGGCATTAGCCATAGTATTTTTATGACCTAGAGTCAGAATCCACCAAGCACGCCTTCTGTAGCATCCTGAGTTACACAGGCTGGCCCTGTTGTGGGAATAGACCATAGAAGAATCTCAAAACAAGACATAAAACTTACTGGAGTCATAGTGCAGGCTGGTGATATCATAAGCAGAGGAGTTCAGGGAAAATGAGACTTCTGTCTAGGTTCAAACACTGGTAACTAAACAAATTTAATTTTTGAGACAGTCTTGCCATGTAGCCCAGGCTAGAACTCAGCATCCTCTTGCCTCAGCCTTGAGCTACCATGCTCAGCCAGGTTCTCTTATGACTGGGGAGTATTAAGCACACTTGAAGAATGATGATGAATTCATATCTCCAGAACTTTTTAAAGACAGGGTCTTACTATGTAACCCAACACATACCTACAGACACAGGATTCTCCTGCCTCCGTCCCCAAGTGCTATTCTGAGGATTTTTGATGAGGTGAAATAAACAGCCAACATAAGACCTCACACAATTCTGGAATTCAGCAAATAATGTGTATTTATTTATTTAAAGTGTAGCTTAAGACTAACATTCTGATAAACCATTTACTGTCTATTATTCCCGAATACTATTTTTAAAAGAATATTTTACTGAATTAATGATGCATGCATTCCTTAAGCCATTTGTGTCCGTTCAGTTTGGTAGCTCCCATTGTTTAAAGCACCCACATACACACAACTCGTATTTATCATCTAATGGCATTGGAAAGCCATGTTTTAGTACAGCAGTTGGCAGCAGAAGTCTCTGTGTCATTCCCAAATGTTGTCCTGCACTTGCAGCACTGACCCTGACCTCAGACATGTCAAGGTCAGATCATCCGGAACCCATGCTCATCTCCATGGTAACTGATATACCTTTCCTCTGGCAGATGGAAGTGTACTGTTCAGATTTTCATGCTGAAAGAGCAGCAAGAGAGAAGATACATGAAGAAAAGGAACAGCTGGCCTTGCAGCTGGCAATTTTGCTGAAAGAGAACAATGACTTTGAAGATGGAGGCAGGTAAGATAAAGCAAGAGGAGATGTGGTACCCAGGTCAGCGCTGACAGGGGTCTTCTGTAGAAGCCATGTTCGCATCTTCAGCCCATCCGCATTTACATCCCAGAATGGCTGTCTCTACACCTCATCTGTTCATGTTTCACACTTAATTCAGCTCAGAGCAAAGCTTGACCGGAGTCTGCTTTCAAAGCAAGGCCAAATTCCTTGCTTTGAAATAAGCTGTAAAAATAACATTCTGTGCCCAGGTGTCTTACCTGGCCTTATCTGTTTTAGAAGAAAATACTCAGCAAAATCTGACTTTAAAAAGTTACTTGTTACTGTGTTTTGAGGCAGGTCATACTCTGCAACCTAGGCTTGTCTAGAACTTGCTATGTGCTTCATGCTGACCTCAAACTTGTCCTCCTGCCTCAGTTTCTAGAGTGCCTTGGGGAGATCAGGAACACACCATATGTTTGGTTATTGGGAGAGGTCTTAAAATAACATTTAAATTGAAAAATAATACAAGTAATATGTGTACCATCTGGGTCCCAAGGATTGAACTCAGGCTTCTCAGCAAGTGTCTTTTCCAGCAGAGCCACCTCACCAGCCCCAAGTACTTTATAATCAAAAGAACAAAGCGAGTTGTGGCCAAAGCTCAAGTCTCTTTGTTTTCCCATCCTTCAGTGTACCCCCTTCCCTTTGTAAAACCAGGAATTTGGTGAGTAGCCATACCATCTGTATTATAGTTTTATATATAGATATGCACACAAATCCCTGATGGTTATTTTTAGCCAGTTTTTTAAGATTTGCTTATGTGTATGAGTGTTTTGCCTGCTTGTTTGTATGTGCACCACATGGGTGCCTCTGTGCCAGCAAAAGGCACAGAGGATGTCCAATCCCCTGGATTGACATTACAGACAGCTGTGAGCCAGTGTGGGTGCTAGGAACCAAACCCAGGTCAGGTCCTCTGTTAGAGTATAAATGTTCTTAACTGCTGAGCCATCTCCAGCTCCCAAGATGGTGTTTTTTAAGGAAGATGCTGATTTTTTTCTGTGTTTAAGTTATAGATACTGTTCTACAATTCTGTTTATCTCGTATGATTGTGAACTTTTTGATAAAATTTAATTATTTTTTTCTTTTTTTTTTTTAGAAAATGAGGGGTTTTGTTTGTTTTTAGTTTTTCAAGACAGAGTTTCTCTGGCTGTCCTGGAATTTGCTTTGTAGACCAGGCTGGCCTCAAACTCACAGAGATCTATCTGCCTCTGCCTCTGCCTCTGCCTCCTAGGATTAAAGGCATGTGCCATCCCTAGGGGTTTTTTTTCTCTTAGCAAGTGAAATAATTTGCTCTATTTAATTGCCATGTAATGTCTTGATCCAGAAATATGGCACTTTTCTCTGATCCACTTCGATATCAATAAACAGTTTGGTTTTTTTTTTTTTTTTTTTTTTTTTTAATAAAGGCCTGCTTAGTGTCTTTGTCACATTCTGTCATAGTATTAGTGGTAGTTAAGAATCAAGTTAGAGGACCTAAAGCGATGGTTCAGTGGTTAGAACAATGGCTGCCCTTCCAGAGGACCCAGGTTCAATTCCCAGCACCCACATGGCAGCTCACAGCTGTCTGTAGCCTCAGTTTCAGGGGACCCAACACCCTCACAAGGACATAATTGCAGGCAAAACACCAATGCTCATTAACAAAAAATAAATAAATAAAAAAGGAATCAAGTTAGAGCCAGGTAGTGATGGCATACTCCTAGAGGCAGACAGATCTCTGAGCTCCAGGACAGCCAGGACTATACAGATAAACCGCATCTCAAAAAAAAAAAAAAAAAAAAAAAAAAAAAAATGAAAGAAAGGAAGGAAAAGAAAAAGAGGAGAGAGAGAGAGAGAGAATCAAGTTAGTCCTGAGTGGTTTCCTTTTGTTTCATGGCACTGGCGGTTGAACCCAGGGCCTTGTGCATGCTAGGCAAGCACTCTGCCACTAAGCTACATCCCCAGTCAATTCTGGCTCCTAGGAACTTCAGCCTTGTCTTCTGATTCCTTTCCCACCTCACACTTTTATTGGTTGCTTAATGGTGTCTTTTATAGTGCATTACAAATAGTGTTGCTTTTGACCCCAGTAGGCAATCCTTGATGGAAATGCAGAGCCGGCACGGGGCAAGGACCAGTGACTCTGACCAGCAGGCTTACCTGCTTCAAAGAGGTGAGTCACCTGTGAGCTAGGTTTCCAGGGGAAAACTCCATTACATTGTACAGAATGGGTCCCAAATCAAACTAGTCAACACACAGCGCCTCTTATTTCCTCAGAATTCCAGTGTCCAACACCCTCTCATTTCAGCCCAGATTCTTTACCAGCCTTATAATGCCAGGTCACTCTAGTGTAACATTCACTGATCTGCTCACAATCTTCAACTCATCCTGAACCTCTATTTGCATTTATTTAGAAAGGTTTTGCTTTGTTTTGTTTGTGATGCCAGAAATTGAATCTAGATCCTCATGAAATGCTAGACAATGGGTCCAAAATGCATGGTGCTAGATTTGTTATGCAATTCTACCACATGCATAATAATTTTCTTTAATTTTTATCAAAGGGGAAGTATTATCCTTGATTCTACATAGGAAAAATAATAAATTCGAAGACCTAACATGGCTAGAAGAAAAGTTAATGACAATGTTCTACCAATAAGATGTCATGAATTTCATAGACATAACGAAGGTTAAGTACCAGACCATCCCAAGTGCCTTTCACATTCTGTCTGGCTTTTGTTGCTGTTGCTGTGATAACATACCCCAACAAGAAGCTACTTAGTTTATTTCAACTCAAATTTCTAGGCAAGTTACCATCCATCACTGCAGGGAAGTGAGGGCAGCAGGAACTTGAAACAGTCACGTCACATCCATAATCAAGTGCAGAGAAAAGTTAATTCATGTTTGTCTCCCCATGCTTACCCAACTCAGGACCCAAACCCAGGAAAGGTGCTCCACGCTGTGGGTTTCCCACATAGTCAACAAAGTCAAGACAATCTCCACAGACATGCCCACAGGTCAACCTGATTTACGCAGTCCCTCACTGAGACACTCCTCAGGTGACTCTTGATTGTGGCAGGATGACAGGGAAAATTAACCATCACACACACAAGTAATGACTTATGTCCTACTGCAGTTTAATCACCAGCAACAAAACAATGTTAGCATATAGAGTACACCATTAAATCTGCCCCAGATTTAATCTGGGGGCACATTTAATGGTGTACTCTGAATGTCATTTTGTATTTCCTCTGTCTCTCCCTCCCTCTTCCCCACTGCCCCCCACCAAGCAAAGTCTGTTTATAAGAAAATAAATTAAGCCAGGTGTTAGTAGTGCACACCTTTAATCCCAGCATTCGAGAGGCAGAAGCCAGCAGTTCCAGGACAGGCTCCAAAGCAATACAGAGAAACCCTGTCTCAAAAAAAAACCAAAATAAATAAACTTATTTCTAATTTATTTATTATTTAACAGCCAAATGTTGTGATTTATGCCTGTAATCCTGGTACTTGGGAGGCAGAGACAGGGAGATTGAGAAACTCCAGGCCAGCCTGGACTAGTCTTCCTCAATAAACCAAATACAACAAAGATTAATGTGCATATATATATATATATATATAAGTATCAGTGAAACCCACTGTTTTGAATAATAAATATGCATTGATAGAGGAGCTAGCAAGATGACTCAGCAGCTAAGAGTACCTGTTGGTCTTTCAGAGGACCCAAGTTAGTTCCCAACACCCACATCAAGCCACTCACAACTACCTGTTACCATAGCTTTAGGGGGTCTGATACCCTCTTCTGGTCTTTACAAGCACCTAAACACACACAGCACACATACAAACACATGAATAAAAAATTATAAATGAGTATTTTACATGTATGTATATATACTGACTAAAAACAAAACTCCCAAATCACAAAATAAATCCAAATAATAAACATACATTCATGGATCATATGCAGGGGAGATAAATACCACATGGCCGGGCACAAATACTAACCTGGGCCACTTTCAGCACCAGGGATAAAAGGCTAACCTGTCTCGAAATTTTAGGTTGGAGTATGAAAAAAAGAAACACCGGAAGTCAACCTGTGGCCTCCACCCATGTTCACACAGTTGAGCATACTCACATGCATGTGCATACAAAAACATCTGTTCCCACACCCACACTTCTTGCTCCAATAATAGTTTGCTTCACTGAAACTGTTTTCACAGACCTTGAACTTGAGATGTGATTGAAATAAGTTATAATTTCCACTCGTGACCCAAAAGTATCCACCAGATAATGATTAGAAAGTTTAGCAGATGCTCTCACATTAGCCATCTGTTAACTAAATTCAGGCCCAAGTGCTCTTGTGATGGAACTGATGGCACATGTCACTTCCTGTTTATTCCCAGGAGCTGAGGACATGAGCTGGGGACAGCAGCAGCCTCGGAATATTCCAATTCATTCTTGTCCCAAATGTGGAGAGGTTCTGCCGGACATTGACACACTACAGATCCATGTCATGGATTGCATCATTTGAGTGTTGTCCATTTGAGTTCAACTCCCCAAAAACTTTTGGTAAATGCCAGATTTTTCTCCTCCAAGACTTGTACTTCTGTCTTATTTGGTGTCATGCAAATATTTTTGCCACATTATCCTTATTCCAGGAGAAAGAACATGTGCCCTTCCTAAGGAGAGCATCTTCTGTATTGACCGGAAGTCACAAAGTAGAATCTAGTTACCACCCTTCCAGTAAGAGATCCAGTGCTTTTATGTTTGCTCCTAAGAGACACTGAGAGGCCATCAGCCAGAATGGGACACCATGTGACCAAGGTCACAGAGTTACTTGTGAGAAACTCACTGACATCTATTAAGAGCCTTTACGAGGCAAGAAAATGAAATGGTCAGAAAATGTGCCTGGCATGTTTTTCTAGGCACGACTTCACCCTGCAGGTGTTTTGTTGATTTATATGTAATTATTGGGAAGGTACCATATGGCGCTCTCTGACTGAGCTTTCTGTCCTTATCAGGCCAGGTGAGTGCTGGGGATGTAGCTCAGGAGTGGCAGGGGTGGAGTGCTTTCCCACAGCTGTGGTGTGTCAACACCTTTAACCTGTTTTGTACTGGAGGTGTATGGACTAGTACAGCATATAGTTTAATTTTTTAAATAGAATAGCTATTTTTTCCTAGATGAAGTAGAAGCTTACAAACATCAGTTATTACAAAATAGAATTTTTCTGCAAGTCTGCCACATGGCTCATATATGACATTGTAGTATGTATATTCTGTATTAAGCTCATTTGGCTTAATGTAAACTTAATACTGAGATGTTTTATTCATGATAATGGGAGCAGGTCCTTTTCATAGAGGGCCAGTACATGTTACATGAGACCCCTGCTAAAATGGTGAACACAGGCGTGTTGGTGGTATCTCCATTACACAGGAGACTGAGGCAGGAGATCACCAACTCATGGCCAGCTAAGGCTACCTGGACTAAATAGGGATTTGCCGTGTTTTCTGTAAAAAAGGCAAGCAAAAACTAAACAAGTTACAAAAGTAAACAGATTCAAGTCCAAAAACATTTAAGAGAAAATGAGGTTTGCTTTGCTTGTGTTTACCATAGGATCTCTGGTTAAATACACCTGTGTATTTAAATGGAATCAAACAGTTGATTCCCCTCCCCCCAAGGGAACAGACTATCCAAGTTACAGTTATCTCCATGCCTGAACAGTTACCCTCACTCCAAGACAGCATTACACTGTACTGGTTCAGCAGTGATTAGGTTTGATTTTTTTCCCTCTTGCATCCTCAGGACAATGTTTGTTAATGACATTTCTAAAATGACAATGATTTTTTTTTCTTTTCTTTACTATTTTATACTGGAAAAAAAATAGATTTCTATAGTATCCCAGATAGAAGAGGAAACCAAATGTTTTCACAATGAAGTTACTGGGAAAATCCGTTTTTCAAGTATGATTTTGTTCAAGTATAACTGTCTGATAAAGCCAAACTGTGAAGTGGGACCTCAAATGACCTTAATAAGATTGTGGCCAATACATTTGTTTGATCAATGGAGAAGATTACAAATGAAGGCAAGTTCAAATTAAGACAATGGGAGAGATGTCTGTATACCATCTTCATAGCAACATTTTCTACAGTAGATAGGATACAGTGCAACCTAGATGTCCATTCACCTAGATAAGGAAAATGCAATACACAATATAATGAAGTAGTATTCAGCCTTTTAAAAAAGGAAATCTTATCACTTTAACATAGATAACCTGGAGGGCACCATGTCAAGTGAAATAAGCCATTCATGAATACCACATGATGTCACTTGTGTGCGGACTCTGAAAAAATGAACTCATAGATGTTGAGAGCTGAGTGGTGGTTAGCAGCACATGAAGGAAGGTGTGGGAAGGGTGAGAAGATGTTGATGAAAGGGTGTGAAATCTCAGGAGGGATAACCTGTTGTGATCCACTGTACAGAATAGTGACTTCAATAATTTGTATATTCTGACTGTGTGGTTTAAGGGAATCACCAGTTTAGTAAACAATTTGTAAATGCTGTGTGGGTCATCTGATTTATTTAATCCACTGTCTGTTCTAAGGCATCGTTCGATGTTACCAATTAGCTGCAAATCATAGGAGCATTGTGCATGTTATTTTCTTTCTTTCTTTTCTTGTTTTGGTTTTTTTGAGACCAGCTCTCACTATGTAGCCCTGGATGTCCTGGAATTCACTATGTAGACCAGGCTGGTTTCAAACTCACAGAGATTCACTTGCCTCCTTCCTGATTGCTGGAATTAAAGGCTCCCATCACCATGCCCAGCTTATGCATGTTATTTTTATGCCTGAACAGTTACCATCCTCGTGTGTTAATAGCATGATTGTCTGCATGTGTTAATCACATGCTGTGACAAAATATCTGACAGAAAACTGAAAAGGGAGACAGTTTTCTTTCGACACAGTGTCTCAGAGGTTTTGGCCCTTCCAGCTAGGGAAGGTGTGGTGGAACTGAGCAGCTCACACCATGGGAGGCCAGGGAACAGGCAGAGATGCCTGATCCCACTGGGGTCCTCACCTGCTAGGTAGTGCTGCTTATATTTAGTGCCGATCTGTCCCTCTCTGGAAATTCAGGGGGAAAGCTATTAATCTCCAGGGTTCTTAGCAATTCAGTCAAGCTAACAATCAAAATCACTATCATATCACTCCCTTAGCAAATCCCTCAAGTTGCCAGGCTTGCACAACAAGCACATTGCCAACTTAGCTATCTTACCAGCCCCACATCATTATTAACATTTGTTGTTGTCTCTCTCTCTCTCTCTCTCCTGATAATGGCCATCTTGTCAGATGAGATAGTATATTACTATCATTTGACTTTGTGTTTTCCCAGTGTTCAGTTATTTTTTATTTTTATTATTATTATTTGTGTTTGTTTGTGTGTGTGTGTGTGTGTGTGTGTGTGTGTGTGTGTGTGTGATCAGTTGTTTTAACCCTTCTATATACCTGTCTTTGGAGACATGTCTACTCCAGTCCTTTGCCCACTTTTAAACTGCATTACTAGGTTCCATTTCTGATTGTTGATATTTTGGACATTAACCTTACACACACACACACACACACACACACACACACATAGAGTTTGCTTTACAAACATTACAACTATCAGTCTATAGTTGGTCCTTTCAACTTGGTTGATTTTTCCTTTGGACAGACTTCTTTTATTCTTATGAAGTTGAGTTCCACTTGTTTTCATTTTTTCTTCTGCTTTTAATAAACAACTAATAGTGAATGACTGTTAAGCACCCAGACTAAACAGAACATCGGTATTATATAATCCAAAGCCCAGGGATTATCACAAGGGGAAGCCAGAACATGTGGAGGGTGCTATAATATTCTGGCCATTGCCTGAACTCACAGCAAGTGTGGCTACCTGCACAATACCTACACAAGATAGGACTCCCATCAACATGCTTTCATGGGTGAGGAAAGTGCTCATGACATCCTACCTATCCTTGAAGAACAGTTCATGGCTTGCCAAAGGAAGGTAAGTCATTTTCCTTGGTAGTGTAATCACTGGTGAGTTGCCCATACATTAGTAAATAACTCCCCTCTATGCTCATTTAAGCAACTCTAATGAAACTCAATGGTTTCGTTAAGACATGCCTATAGCAGGAAAGGGCAGGAATAAGAGAAAGTAATTTAGAGTAATCTGATCAAAAGACAAATGTTGTATACATATGAAAATTTCAAGATAAAAGTTTTTCTAACCTAATCTTATAAACTTTCAATGTAATTCCAGTAAAGATCCTAGAAAGCTATTTTGTAGATATCGACAAAGTGACATCTAAATTTTAAATGGGAAGGTATTATTATAATCTGAAATAGCCAACACAATATTGAATAATGAAGTCAAAGACTTTAAGTGTCTGGTTGTTGCCACTGTCTTGCTGTTAAGTTGTGTTCATTTTGACAAACACACACATATGCATATTTATACATACCTCAATACACTGGAAAACTATCAAGACTAGGGTATTGGCAATGAAACAGACAATACAGAAAGTGATGTAGCTTTTATTTGTAAAACTTCCCATCTTTATATAGGTGCAGTTTTATTCTATTGTGTGCAATGTTAAGATCCTAGATTATTTCTAAATGTGTGACCTACTGAGAGCATGCAAATTCTTGACAATATATATTTTTCTAGGAAAAAAATGTCTTATTATTTTGTCAAAGAGGTCTCTGAGCACCCACAGCACTGCCCCCTCCAAAACAATTAAAAACCACTACATGGTGCATCCCCGTTTGCAGTATCACCACTTGGGAGGCTGAGGCAAGAGGACTGCCAGGAGTTCAAAGTCAGTTTGGGCTATACGGCAAGATCCTATGTTTAAAAACAAAACAATCCTGCACTAACTTAAAGCTGATGTGTAGGTCCTGGATTTCCTTCTAAAGAGAGTGAATCATCTCTTCAGTGCCCCAGATTGAAGAGAGGCAAGTTGCTGCTCCTTGCCCTTTTCTTCATCATTCTATCTTAGTGTTATGGTTTAGATACAAAGTGTCCTCCACAAAAGAGTCCTGTATTGAAGTCCTAGCCCCCAGTTCAAAAGAGGATCTTTGAGATCATGAGGATTAATCCATTAATGGATTCCAAGTTTTAATAGAATACTGGGATGTGATGGAACTTCAGAAGATAGGGCCTAGTTGGAGAAAGTGGGTCACTGAGGGCAGGAATGATAAACCTTGTTCTTGGCCTTGTCATCCTGCTTCCTCGATGCCATGAGGTGAGCAGCTCTGCTTAATCACACCACACCCTTCTGCCAGGCTCTGCCCATCAATATCCCACATTCAATGGATTCTGAATCTACTTGATTTTTTTTTTTCAAAGTCACTTCCTCCTCTTTCCTCAAAGTTGCCACTAAACCAATCTGACTCAGATTGCTTGGTTCTCCATATCCATTTGTGCATGAGCACTTAGATTGATACTGCTTACTGTTCCTCACATTGCATGGGAAGCAAACATAACCAGTAAAGTTAGAGGGAAGAAAGGAACTTCAGAATACCAACAAGAATTCGTCTATCTAGATGGGTGGTGGTGGTGCACACTTTTACCACCAGCACTTGGAAGGTAGAGGCAGTCAGGAGACAGATCTCCTGACTCAGATCTCTAAGTTTGAGGCCAGCCTGGTCTACAAAGTGAGTTCAGGACAGCCAGGGCTGCACATAGAAACCCTGTCTCAACCCCGGACCTCAGCCCCCAAAAGTATTAGTTGATCTAAGTATTGCAGTCTCTCCATTACTGTGAAGTTTTGACACTGCCATTACTCCTAAACTTGGGCTGGTAGCATAGGTTCTAATAATGATGAGGCAGAGTTCATAAATGGAGCATTAATTAATATGTCATGGTACAAGAGAAAAACCCATGTACATGGCAGGGTTCTTTGTTTTCTAGTCATCTTGAAGCTGGTTTTAATTATCCTAAAAGCAAACGTAACCACAACGGGCAGAGATACCTATCGTGTCTTATCTAAAAATCAATTAGAGGAATCCAGTCTCTGAATAGTGTCACTTGGCACTCCCTGGGTATGGTGACTGAAGCCTTAATCCAGGAACTCTTGAAGCTGAGGTCAAAAGTTTCAAGAATTCTAGGCCAGGGCTTCAAATGTAGCTCAGTAGTAGAGGGCTTGCTTAGCATACATGAACTTCTAAATTCAGTTATCAGCACAAAAGCAAAAAGGGGGAGGACCAGGAGGAGGGATCCCTGGACACCAGCCCTGCTACCATACTGTCTTAAAAGAGCAAGTGGACACAGTGCCTCAGGCCTTTAATCCCCTCACTTAATCACAGCACATGGGAGGCAGAGACCTGTGGATCTCTGTGAGTTCAAGGCTCACCTGATCGACATAGAAAGTTCCAGGCCAGAGCTACATGGAGAGACTATCTCAAACAACAACAAAATTGTGCATGGGAAGGAGGCAAATATTCTGCGTTTGGAAACTGTTTTTAATACCAGCTTTTTAGGACGTAAGCACATAGTTTGAAGTTTACTAAAGAATAATCAGAGTGAAAAATAGAAACTTTCGTCTCTCTGTATTTAAATCCTAATGTCTAAACTGGACACAAGATAAGCAAAGCTTGTTCAGACTTTGATAGGTTCACTTACTTACATCAGAGAACCTGTGAGGACAGCAGTGAGCAGCTGCATTTAGTCCTTACATAACCTCCACTTAATGCACATAACCTCCACTAAACACTGGAGCTCAGAAGTAGCTAACAACGCTTAAATTTCTCCGCGCTAGGGGGCGCTGGACCCTCTCTTTCTGTTACAGGAACCTGATCGTTCACCAACCGGAAGTTCTTTGCCCATAACAAAGATGGCGCCTGCTGACATACACCAATCAGATTGCTCTACTGAGAGGCGGTGTTTTCCCCTCCCAGAATAATTGTCCTGGTACAATTCTGGCGCAGCCAATCAGAGCGTCCTCCACGGCTGAACGCGTTGACGTCAGACGTGGGGCGGAGTCCAGTTGTAACTTTTGGCGCGTTTCTGTGTGGATCGGGAAGAGGACCGGGTCTTGGGTGAGTAGTAATCGCGGGGTTTGGGCGGGTGAGTAGCTCTGGTTGTAAGCGAAGGGTTTGAGGTCCTAAGGGAGAGAGGCGCGAAGCTCTGAGGGTGAGAGGCGGCGAGATCCGGGTCGCGCGACCTCCGGTTGGAGCGAGCAAGGCGCCGGAGCTGGGAGGTCGAGGTCCCGTGTGCTTAAGGAGCCTACTTTAGTTTGTTTTCTTCGGAAGAGCGCCCTTTATATTTATTTTTTAAATGTTTATCTTTGGCAAATTCATGTATACACATGTGAATATGACAATTTGACAATTTTGGTCATGTTCACGCGCGTTCCCTTCTTACCCGCCTCCCCTTTCTCTGAACCCCTTCTTCACCGAACTTGCCGAGCTTTCATGTCTTTTTAAAATAACCCACTGAATGCCATTGGGGGTTGCTTGCATAAAGATCACCATTTTAAAATGCTGGCCGCCACATTGACTTCTCTCTTCTTGACCCCTATTGAGTGCATGCTTTGCACGGGGCTCTTCCAGAAAGAGACACGTCTCTACCCTACCCTTCCGAGGCTTGCAGTCTAAAGAGGTTCCAGATAACAGGCACATGATAGTGGAGAAATTGCAGTGATTAGCTCAAAGGGGGTTCTAGAAAGGATGGCCGACCAGAAAGACTCAGGAAATTAGCTAAGGGGACTTCAGGGGCACTTTCAAGACAAAGTGCTTGACATTTGAAAGCAATGTATGGTTCCAGAAGCTGAAAGCAAACTAATCTAGCAGGAAGATGCTTCCGAAGGTGGGGTTTAAAGCTAGAGTGGAGTAAACAGAAAGGATGAGGAAAGCACCTATTGTTACATGGGCTTTGTGAATTTTATTCTAAGGAAAATAGGAAATCATCAGAATGTTTCAATTGAAAGGATTTCATGGCCTAGTTTATTTTCCTAAAATATCACTGACAAAAGATGATTAACTGGAGGTGGTTGCAGTACTTGGGAGGCAGAAGCAAGTTGAGCTCTGTGAATTTGAGGCCAGCCGGAGCTACCTTGTCTCAGAGAGAGAGAGAGAATATATTAACTCTGGGGTGTGAGGAATCAATTGTGGGGGGACAAAGTAAGCAGTACATGAAGGTGATATAGTTGCTCAGGCTCAAAATGAATGGTGGCTTGAATTAGGGTGTTAGCTGTGAAGTGGAGAAAAGTGGAAAATGTAGTTGGTGTTTTGCAGGTAGGAGCCAGTATTTTTAGGATGTCCTAATTGTATACTGGTTTGATTTGGGGAAGCTGGGCAGGAGACTGGTAGGAATGAGCCAAGACAGTTTGCTCCTAACTTACAATCAGAAACACCCCAGTAGGTAATGTGATACCTCTTAGGGTCCTTACAAATGTTCAGTGAGTGAAGAGAAAGTACCATAATTAATACGTTGACTTGCTAATATTGCATATATAGCACAAGTGTAAGCCAAGTAATAGAATGGAGTTCTAAATCACTGAAGTCTAGCCAGGCAGGAATGGTGACACAGAGGCAGACTATAAATTCGAAGCAGCCTGATCTCAAGTTCTGGACCAAGCAGTATAACATAGTGAAAGAGCAAGCTAGTTAGAGAACATTGCCTAGTATAAGGCCCTGGACTCAGGCCCATGACAGAAGGGAAAACAGGACGGGGAGTAGGGAAGGGATTTTTCGTTTTAATTATCATAGCAGTCTCATGAGTTGGAGGCCAGCCAAGGTCTAAGTAGCGAGAGTTCATCTCAAAACACAGGGAAGAGTTGTGAATTGTTATCCATTGTTTTGTTTTGTTTTTCATCAGGACAGTTTTTCTCTGTGTAGCTCTGGCAGGCCTCAGACTCAGAAGTTCAACTGCTTTCATCTGGTACTGCAGTCTAATACTGTCATAATTTTACTTCAGTTTTAGTGCAATGAATGTAACAAAGAAAGCAGTGATCCAAGGAAGGTTGTTTGAGTTCAAAAACACATGTAAATAAATGCCAGTAAACACATACTAAATAATAACAGAGCAACCCTTTCCCAGAACATTCTCAGAACAGACCAATTTAAACACAGTTGCCTGGCATGTACTATAAATTATATCTGGGAGAGCATGGAAGCAAGGCAGAAGGCCATATCCGGATTCGGGAGACTCTGACTAGATTGGGTTCTATAACTATGTTCTGACATTCAAGAAGAATAAACATGTCTTATAAATTGAATATAATTGTCACAGAAGTCACAAAATAATTCCCAAGAACAATCCAGGGAACAAAATGCACCTGAGTTTAAAAAAGGCCCTCTGCCTTTTTTCCCAGAACTTCTCTCACGGTTCCCCAAGGCATTGTTCCTCATTCATCATTCTGACTACCTGCCCCACCTCCCCAGTACTAGGATTAAAGGTGTTTGATACCATGTCCATTTCAGTGTTAGCCTTTGATCTTAATTGTTCTTTTCCTCTGTACTTTGCCAGCTAGTGTGGCAGTAAGATCCTAACTCAGGGTGGAACTATGTAGAATCTCATACTTTATCTGCAATGGTAAAGTAGACCTCAGATGCATTACAATAATAAAATGGGATAAAAGCCCTAAAATTTATCCCAGCCTGAATAGTTTCTATTCACAATGTGTTGAACCTGTCGTTCTATCTCCCACCCTACACTGCTTCAACTGGGACTCCATAGCCACAATTTAAAGCCAAGCAGAAGAGCACTGCTTATGTACAAGGAAAAGATACTGTTGAGTGTTGATAATAGGCGAGGGGGATGAGAAATGGCGTGGGTGGGTGCTGGATGCATTCCAAGGTTAGAGTGCAGAGAATCTAGAATGTACATAATGAGAAGACTCAAGGGTAACCCTAATGTTGGTTTTTACACAGCCAAGACTCTTCATTACTCATTTCCTGGGCCACCTACCTGATCCGCCTTCACACTTGTTTGCCTCAACTATTCTCTTGACAGCATGGATGGTAAGGCCTTCCATTTTAATTGATTCCTCTTTGGCTCATGGAGAACTACAGTTTGGTCCCTCTTTCCACTACAAAATAGTGGGAAGTCAGGATGCTGAATAACTCATCATGTCAAACTATCAAATCGAGTGACCAAGCTGGGTGGTCTGACTTCAGAAGTTACTCTGGGTGTTAAAATGTTTTGAAATGGTTTTAGTCTAGCAGTATTAATTCTTGTGGTCTTTTCTAATTTTGCTTGTTTTTCAGGGATTTGTACAAGGAAAAAACTCAGTAAAGAAATAGTGCTCTGATTAGCAATATTCAACTTGTGCTGGTTCTGATGGGACCAGAACAAAGAATACATTGTGGGGTGTTTTGTTGTTGTTTGTTTGTTTGTTTGTCACTTAAATAGTTGAGCTCATTGCCGGAAACTGCATTTCTTTTTTTGTGTTTTCTTTCTTTCTTTTTTTTTTTTTTTTATATCCCTGGCAGTCCTAGAACTCATTGTGTAGGCCAAGGTGGCCTTGAACTCAGCAATATGCCTGCCTCTTCCTCCAAGTGCTGGGATTAAAGGCATGGGCCACCACTACCCAGCTGAAATTGTAGTTCTTTTTGATTCATGTTTATTACACTTTGCCCTCTTCAAGAAAAGTAAAAGCAAACATTGAAGCTGTCCTGGGCTAGATCTTATTTCAAAAAAACAGTAACAATAAAAAAAAAAAAAACAAAACTGTATGTTCTAATTTGGATTAATTTTATCTTTCACATGAAATCACCAGTGAAATAAAGAGTTACTTATCTTTAAAGGTCAAGTAAAAGCAAATATGACAAAAAAAATTTTGTCACCCAGAATTAATGATAGCTAATTCTGGGTGATGGCTATTTATACATCTTTCCCCATGTAAAAGTAACAACTAAAAAGTGAGAGAGTAGGTCAGGTCTGATCTACATCTATGTTTAAGTGTTCTTCAGTTATTCCTTATTGGTCAAATTTCATGAAAGTTGGTATTGCAGGAAGGTGACTCATTAAAGTAGTGCTGGTAAAAAGTTCTAGCCCAGTGCCTGCCCCTTTCTCTCCTTAGCTCAGTCTTCTAAGAAGCACTTGGGGTCCGGAAAGTAGATAAAGGGCCAGCAGAACCTCCGGCAGAGTGACAAATCTGGAGGCTCGTTTCTGTTACACTGTCAGAGCTGAGTAAGGTGTGCTTGTCACTGACACTGCCTGGGGTAGACTTACTTTTCCATTTCCTTTAGTGGAGGAAGACGACTTGTCTCTACTGACATCCCTGCTGGAGGAGAACGAGGCAGCCTTTCCTTGTCATTCAGAAGAGAATACCTCCTTGTCTCTGGAAGATGGCAAACCTGATGAATTTGATGAGCTTTTTGATGCTGATGGTGATGGGGAATCTTACACAGAAGAGGCTGACGATGGAGAAGAGGGAAAAACAGAAAACCAGGAGGAAAATTTGGCCACTCTCTTTGGCGATGTGGAGGATTTAACAGATGATGAACTTCCTACCTTGCAAGTTGAAAGCAAGGTCCTTCCTGGTCCTGCTCCCAGCCAAGAAAAAACCAATCAGGAGTTGCAAGGTACACCAATTGCTTGCTTTCTCCAATTTATTCATGAGAAAAAAGATGACAAGTTTGACAGTTTTCATTAAAAATAACTGCAGGTACAAGGGTGGTGGCCAGTGGCTTTATTTGGAAAAATAAATAAATATAAAAGGTTAGAAGGATAACTCCAGTCCGTAAAATGCATGCACGAGGACCTGAGTCCAAATCCACATTGCCCACTCAAAAGCTCAGTGATGTGCTGTGTATCTGTAACTTCAGTGTGAGGAGTGGGGACAGATGAGACCCTGGGGTTGATTGTCAAGTCCTCCTTGCAGATCTATGAACTCATTGAGAGACCCTGCCTCAAAAAAATAGGAGCAGTCAAAGATCAGCAACAAAGCTCTGTGTATGCATGCACACACATGCCTAAGCTTGAATACATTAATGCATGAGGCATTGAAGTCAGCATTTCAAGGACCTCCTTATGTCCTTGTCAGCAAACTATGACTGATCTTCCACAGAGTGGCACTCACGGTGCTGGTGCTTCTTACAGAGTATATCACTCTAGGATTTATGTTCATGGGGAGCCAGGGACCAGGCTCTAAAGTTACCGCACAGTTTGTTTGAGTAAGAGACTATTCCCGAACTGCCACTTTGAGGCATGGACCTTTCTTAGTCCTGACATCTTTTCTTGTATTTTTAAGTTAGGAAAAGCACCCAGCATTTATGATATTTCAATTTACAAAATAAATTATTGTTTGGCTTCTATGATAGGTATCCGTACAAATTCCCCTATTGGTTTTGTGTTTGGGGTTTTTGTTGTTCTGAGACTGGGTCTGACCCTGGCTGTCACCTCAGCCTCCTGAGTGCTGGGATTTCAGGTACGCACCATCATGCTCAGCCAACAGGATGAGCTCACAGCTAGTTCAAGTGTTGGAGGCTTGATTACTAGGGATAAAACATTTGTTTCTCTACAGGACTTCTTGGAAATACCACAGTTGAGTTTGAAGTATGGCATTTATCCTAGTTTTATATCAATTTGACACAAGCTATAGTTATCTGAAAGGATGGAACCTTAATTGAGAAAATGTCTCCATAGTCAGCCTGTAAGGCATTTTCTTACTAGTGATCACAGGGAAGGGCCCAGCCCCTTGTGGGTAATGCCATTCCTGGGCTGGTGGTCCTGGGTTCTATAAGAAAGCAGGCTGAACAAGCCGTAGAAAGCAAGCCAGTAAGCAGCTCCCCTCCATGGCCTCTGCATCAGCTCCTGCCTCCAGGATCCTGCCCTGTTTGAGTTCCTGTCCTGACTTTCTTTGATGAGCAACAGCAATGTGGAAGTGTAAACCAAATAAACCCTTTCCCCCACAACTTGTTTTTGGTCATGGTGTTTGATCACAATAGACACCCTAACTAAGACAGGATTGTGTTGTGAGTCTCTAGGTTTGGGGGAGACAACAGAGATACTGCCAGTGTTTGTGTCAGGTATAGCACTCCATCTCCCAGATTCTTAGTATATTTTTCTTTCATAGATGAATTAAAGAAGTTGCAAGAGCAAATGAAGTCCTTACAGGAGCAGCTAAAGGCAGCATCAATTAAACAGCCAAGTGTAGCCCGTTTGCACAAATCACCTGGTAATGTGACTTAATTCTAGCAATAATATGCATGTTTGTTACTAAGAAACAATAACATTACTGCTTCCATCCAGTGCCTGCCAAAACCATAGCATTCCTAATTCCTTTTATTTTCAAACAAGAAGGTGCATCTCTTCGGCCCTCCCTTAAGGAGAAGAAGGTTCGGAGAATTCAGGAGTCAACATGCTTTTCTGCAGAACTTGATGTCCCTGCTTTGCCCAGAGCCAAGCGGGTAGCTAGGACACCGAAGACTCCTGCAGGTATGGTACCCAAGGTCTCACTAGGTCTCACTGCTCAGCCTTGTTGAAAATAGATTTGTGTGTGTGTGTGGTGTGTAAGAGATGATTGGGGGGGAATGAGCTTGTGTGGGTGCAAATGCCTGCAAAGGTATCGGATCTGTTGAGCTGGAGTTAAAAGCATTTGTGAGCTATCTGGCCATTGTCACACAAAGTTCTGTCAGACAGCACTGCACAGATTTGATCTCCTCTGTCAGGATTTGATTGCTCAAGGCATGTTGATGCACACCTATAATCCATCATTTGGAGGAACCTTGGTTCTAGGCCAGCCTGGGCTACATATTGAGACCCAATCTCAAAATAGCAACAACAACAAAAATCCCTTATGTTGATGATAAAAAGAATTCCATAAGCAGATTTTTATGTCTCACAATCATTCTCTTTTCACTTATGCTAATTTCCTAGAGTCATCATCAAGGACAAGTACACCCTCCCAGCCACTCCAGATTATTTCCAATTTTCTAGAGGCCAAAAGCTCCTCTTCAAGGTTAAAAAGTGCATCCCCACCACAAACTGTTCCTGGAAACAAACCCAGTGGGATGACTAGAAATCAGAGCGTAGGAACCCCTGGGAATACCGAGGAACGGGCCCCACAGGTTCCCCAGGTCTCCGTGGAAGCCTTCTCGGGCCTACGCCTCAGGTCAGTAGCTATGACATCCCTTTGAGTTCCTTTATCTGTCCTGCTAGATGACCCTTTGTCCTATCAGAAGATGAGTCCTCTGGAGACCTTGCGCATGCAGCAGACCCACAACAGCAGCAGCTCTTGACTGAGGAGCTTAGTAGCACAGTGGCTGTGCTGTCTTTAACTCAGTGCAGTGCAGTGTGGGCTGTTTACAAAAGTCTCTCCACACAATAAAGAATGGTAGTGCTTACCTTTAATCTCAGCACTTGGGAGGCAGGGATATCTCTGAGTTCAAGGCAAACCTGGTCTGCATAGTGAGTTCCTTGGCAGCCAGGGCTGTGTAAGACCCTGCCTACAAAAACAAGAACAAAAAGCAAATGTTTACCTGTTAAAAAGAAATGGACAAATAATAGGTATTTAATCAGAAATTGTCAGATCAAAACAGTGATGTAGCTTTTATGGTAAAACTTCCCATCTTTGTATAGGTGCAGTTTTATTCTATTGTGTTAGGTAGGATCCTAAACTATTTTTAAATATATAAATATATATAATTCAGGTGTAATGGTTTGTAGTTTTTTGGTTTGTTTGTTTGTTTGTTTGTTTGTTTGTTTGAGGGAGGGGTTGGCATTTCATGACAGAGTATCTCTATGTAGCTTTAGACCCTGTCCTGGAACTCGCTCTCTAGACCAGGCTGGCCTTGAACTCACAGAGATCTTCCTGCCTCTGCCTCCTGCGTGCTGGGACCAAAGGCGTGCACCACCACCCATCGATGGTTTGTACTTTTAATTCCCACATTGAGGAAGCTGAGGAAAGAGAACTGAGAGTTTAAGGCTAGCCTGCATAACTACATGGCCAGTCTGGGCTACAAAGTAAAACACACTCTCAAATCAAAAAGAGAAGATAGTTTAACCAGAAGAGCACTGCTTTCTTATATTGTAGTAAGATTACAAAGGATCATAAAGTAAACTTTATAGATAAATCCATGTCCAGGGAAAAGTAATCCACACTTTGAAAATTATTTTTTAATCCAAGGAAGAAAAAAAAGATTACTTTAGCCAGGAAGAGTATGGGCTCTAGACCAGCCTGAGCTACATACTGAGATTCTGTCCCAAGAAACCAAAAGTAACTAAGTAAAAATAAATATATGCTGAATCCATATTACATCAAAGTTCCCTGCAACACTGGAGAGGTTCCAGATAGTCTATTACCAGAATAATAACCTATTAATTACCTGCTTCTTGACCCAGGCGACCTCGAGTATCCTCCACAGAAATGAACAGGAAAATGACAGGCCGAAAACTGATCAGACTGTCTCAAATCAAGGAGAAGATGGCAACCGAGAACCTGGAAGAAACGGACTGGGTGACATTTGGGGTCATACTGAGGAAAGTCACTCCACAGAGTGCTAACAGTGTAAGCTACTTGACTGGTTCCTGAGCTGCAGGTACCCAGGCTAACTGTGGGGTCTCCTGGCCTCAGTCTGGTGTCTGCCAGTTCTTGAAATAACTTCTAGTCAGCACACATCTTTGGGTTGGTGTTCAAGGGCACTGTTAGCAAAGAACTCTTGACTCAGAGCCAGTTGGGCTCTTATTATCCACTCATTCTTACTACATTTCAGTTGTTGCTGTTTTAAGGGACACCTGTGTTTGGTCCCCAAGACACTGTAATCTCTCCTGTGGAGAAGGCCAGGTGATCAGAGAGGCTGAATCCACAAATCCCAGAGATCCCCTGTGTTTGTAAAATGACAACCTAGGAGTGCTAAGATCTTTGGTTCATGCCAGCAAGGTGTGTACTTAGATAGCTGTTAATAGCATAGTCGATGCTAATTAGTTACCTGGTATCTAGTCCTATGATTGGGTTAGAAGTGATCATGCTGTAGCTGCTGCTTATTTTACTAGGGTGGGTGTGAGAAGTTGTGACACATAATCACACGAACTGTGACATCTGATGTAAGTGCTAGCCAGACAGTTGGACCCTCTACTAAGTTTGCTTTGTGGCCTGCCTTGCTTTTCTTTTATCTCAAATGAGGCAGGTAATAAATACTAAAGCCCAAAGAAAGAATTAACTTAGAATTTGAAAGCACTCTGACAGCCATTTAGGTGAATTATATCACAATACTTTTCCACAATAAGACTCTTGAACTCTAAATGGAGGCAGTGTAAGCCAGGATTCGAAAATGATTACAAATATTGCTGTCCACTTCAGGGGAAAACATTTAGCATTTGGAAACTGAACGACCTTCGTGACCTGACGAGGTGTGTGTCCTTGTTCTTGTTTGGAGAAGTACACAAAGATCTCTGGAAAACAGAGCAAGGGACTGTCATAGGGTTGCTCAATGCGAATCCCATGAAGCCCAAAGAGGGCTCTGAGGAGGTAAGAATCTGGACTTCGTGGCTGGTGGTTTATATAGTTAATGTTTTATCAGAAACATCTATTAATCTACCTCTGGGCTTTACCTGATTCTGTCTGAATTGTTCTGGTTCTTTGTTGTTGGCTCATTGTCTACCAATATTCTATGAAGCTACTTACTCTAAATCAGTTTGAATTAGTACCACAGTTCCCAAAGTTATTGAACTCTTATTATTATTGCTGTTTTATTTATCGTCAAAGAGAAAGAGAAAACACATACATGTATGACACATGTCATGTGTGGAGATAAGAGAACAACCTTATAGAATCATTTCTACCTTTTGTGGGTTTAAGGATTGAACTCCGAGCTTCAGCCTAGCACAGCAAGCACTTTTAATGGCTGAACCATCTCAACAGCTCAAGTTTATTGACCTGTCCCACTTGGGTTTCCTCAGATTCCTTGCATAAGTTCCCATGGTTGTATCAAGAGATCAGTGTCTTGCAGTTAAATGAATTTTGCTTTATTTATTTTACCATTTTAGCTGGAGTTGAGAGTCAAAGAAAATCTTCATTCACAACAAAAAAGCTTGAATAGAGTTTCTTTTAAAGCAGTAAATAGTGGGCTTTAGATGCGTGTGATAATTCATACCTATAGTCCCATTAGTCCAGAGGCCAAGACCAGAGGGTTGCCGTTAGTTCAAGGCGTGTGTGTGTGTGTCTGTAGCCAATGCTGGCCTTGAACTAGCCACAGGCCTCTTGTTTCTGCCTCTCATGTTCTAGGAATGTAGGTATGTTACCATGCCCAACTGTTTTTATTTTATTTTTTAATTTACTACCTTTTATTTTATTGTGGGCTAGAGGGTGATGTAAGGATGGAAAGAGCATACATGTGGAGATCAGAGGACAACTTACAGAATTGGTTCTCACCTTCTGCTATGTGGATTCCAAACAGTGAATTCATGTTCTCAGAGTTTTAGCAAGCACCTTTTTACCCACTGAACCATCTTGCCAGCCTAATTTTTCTTGTAAGTCCAGTCTAGTATTGTGACACGTGGCTATAATCCCAGAACTCAGGAGGCAGGCTGGAGGAAGGTCACAGTTTTGGACCAGTCTAGGCTACATGGTGAATTTGGGCCATTCTCCTGTACACAGAAAAACCCTGCTCCTCCCTCCCAAAAAAAAAAAAAAAATCTAGAAATAGGTGATATAGTGATGTCATGTCTCTATGAGTATCTTAGTTTAAACTTATAAAAGAAACCTTTAACTGGGGCCTTGCTTACTATTTCAGAGGGTGTCCACGTTCGTCATGGTGGGGAGCATGGCAGCAGGCATGCATGACACTGTAGCAGTAGCTAAGGGGCTTACATCCTGATCTGTAAATTAGCAGCAGAGAGAGACAGAGAGAGGCTGGGCCTGGTGTGGGCTTTTGAAACCTCAAGCCCACCCCCAGAGATACAGCTCTTCTGACTAAGCCACAGCTCCTAATCCTTCTCAAAACTGTCCAACCAACTTGGTACCTGACATTCAGATACATGAACCTATGGGGGCAGTTTTTACTCTAACTACCACAGTGAGTTCTGCCTTATACTGAATATCTCCAATGCAGAGTACTGTGTCTTCCCACTCTAGGAGGGAAATGCTATTCATTGATTACTGATCCCTGGGTAGGGGCCTCTGAACAGCTTGGTGTTTTTTGCTAAAATTCCTAGATCTGTGGATCCAGTTAGGCAAAGCAATTCCGTTAGAGACAGGGTGCAAGAATCATAGAAGCCTATGCTCCTTGAGGACTTGTCCCCTATGCTCCGGAAAACTGTCCAGTGGAGATGGAATATTACCTGTGGCCAAGTTTGCTCTGTGGCTAGCTGGGGGATTCAAAAGCTTTCTGATCTGGATTTTGTTACCTAGTAATCACTGAACCTTCTGATCTCAAGTGACTGGATATCTGATTCTGGAAACAAGGACAGAGCCCAGGCAGCTAAGGTCATTCCTTTTTATCTCAGCCTGTATTCTTGGTAGGTTTGCCTGAGAATTGGCAGCAGGGAATGGGAGAGCTGAGTTAGCCAAGGTCATTCAGAGACTGTCCTCCTGGCCTCTTACCACAACTGGCAGCAGGGTGAAGGATGGTGAGCCAGCCTGTCTCCTGTTAGTGGCAATTCAAGAGTTTCCCTATCAATTCCTGTTTCAGTTTAATTTGCCAGGCCTTAGTCACATGACCATTGTTGGCTGTAAGGAATTCTGGAAAAATAGGGCTACATCCATTGTCTGAGGCTGAGCATTTGGCTAGCCTGGACAGTCAGGATTCCACCAGCCTTGAGGGAAAGGTGGTTAGAGAGAAGGGAGCTGAATGAGTCTTCTGCATTCCCCAGTCTACAGAGTGTAGAGTTTTGGCTTCAAAAAATGCCTTCCAAAAGCAGCTGCAAACATCCTTTCGCCCATCTTATGATAAAGGCCTTTAGCACTTGCATAACCTCTCTCTCACAGGTGTGCTTATCTATTGATCATCCTCAAAAAGTCTTAATTATGGGAGAAGCTATGGACCTGGGAACCTGTAAAGCCAAGAAGAAGAATGGAGAGCCATGTACACAGATTGTTAATTTGGTGGGTCTCAAACCTGTTAGTCTGGTTTTTGCCTGTGAAAAGAATCAATCATGACAGAGACTTTGGGTGCTTGAGTGGTGATGAGCAAACGGGAGCTCTAAAAGTCACAAGGTCTCATCGCACATAGTGTGAGGCTGGAGAGATGGGCTGCACTGCTCCCAGTCACTGCCCACAGCCTAATGATTGAGTCTTCACTGGGTGTTTTTCCTTGCAGCACGACTGTGAGTACTGCCAGTATCACATCCAAGCCCAGTACAAGAAGCTTAGTGCAAAGCGGTCAGATCTGCAGTCTACCTTCTCCGGGGGACGGATTCCAAAGAAGTTCCGCAAAGGCACCAGCCTGAAAGAGCGACTGTGCCAAGATGGTTTTTACTATGGCGGGGTTTCTTCTGAATCCTTCGCAGCGTCCATGTAAGATATTTTTCAGGGCTGCTTTTGGGAAAGGGTTTTTTGCTTGTCTCTTAAGAGGAAGCTGGTGTTTGGACTGTTCTGTAACTGTCCTACATGAGCTTCATTTTTCATAGCTGAAGCCAGAGTGGTTAAGGACGCCTTTCATTCCCAGGGAGAGGGGAGTACATTCGGAATGAATGGAAAATGAGTCGTGTGGTGATCTGGACAAAGAGCCCATGTTTTGTGTTTAGCCAGATGTGGTGGTCCATACTTGCAAGCACTTAGGAGACAGAGGCAGAAAGAACATGAGTTCATGGCCAGCCTAAGCTACGTAGGGAGACCCTGTTCCAAATGGAGAGAATAGTCTGGAGAGATTGCACTGCACTCACTGTACACAAACCAGCACTCAGCTACATACATATATACATTTAAAAAATTAAAATAAACCTCTTTTTTTTTTTTTTAAGTGAAAAAACAGTGGCCAGGTAGTGGTGGTGCACACCTTTAATCCCAGCACTTGGGAGGTAGAGGCAGGGAGATCTCAGTGAGTTCAAGGCCAGCCTGGTCTACAGAGTGAGTTGTTCCAGAGCTACACAAAGGAACCCTGTCTCAAAAGGAAGGAAGGGATCAAGAGGTAGAAGTAGGTTCAGGACTCAGTGCCCAGCTGTGACAAAATTTCAGGCCAGCTTAGGGCATATGGATTCCTGTACCAAAACAAAAAAGTGCTAACATCCATTGAGTCATTCCCTTTATTATTATTATTTGTTGTTACTATTACGTGTGATGAAGCTCACACAGGGCCATGATGGGTAGAACAGGTGTTCATGACCCTCCACTGGGATCCTAAACTGTCTAAAAATCCCCAAAGTAGATGGATGATCTATGTCCTTGTCACTTTACCATAATAGCATCTGAGCATGTGACAGGGGAGGACATGTACAAAGGGACTATGGTTTATCTAAAAACAAAAAAGAAAATTGTTTCTCATCTTGCTGAGTTAGGCAAAGAGTTTTGTACTTTCTGTTTATTTAGTAATATCTTTTTAGTCCTCATTTTTAGTAGCTATAGGGTATGGTTCTTTTATATGGTCATTTTAAATATCTCCTGAGGGTGATTGCTAATAGTATTTCTAACGACATTGTAGTTTTTGTGTTTTTTGAGATAGGATTTCATGTAGTTCAAGCTGGCTTGAACTCAATATATAGTCAAGCCTGACCTTGAATTCCTAATCCTCCTGCCTCCATCTCCCTAGTGTTGGGATATGTCCGTGCCACCCTGCCCAGCTTCTACTGTTTTAAACTGACCTATAATTACAAAATGTTAAACTTTAGCAGCCATTAAATATTTTAAGACAAATTCATTGGTTTTTGTATCACAGTACTGACATTTTTTAAAGTTTCCAGCCCTTTGGCAAGGCCTCAAGCAAATCTGTAGGTTGCCTGTTCTCCATCTGTGTTTTGTTATACAAATCAGAACTTCTAGGCTACTGAGTTATGGCTAGCAAAGCCTGCTTGTATGCTTGAAGAACTTGGATAATTGGTAACAAATGCATGCAAATCCTCATGGTTTCTTTGTGAAGGCATTGCAGTTGAGTAACTTTCTTTCTGTTCTGGTGGCTCTTGTCATTTCAGGGCAGCAGCTATTGCTCCTAAGAAGAAAGTTCAAACCACTTTGACTAATCTGGTTGTGAAGGGCACAAACTCAATCATCCAGCAGACAAAACAAAAACTCGGTAACTTTTTCTGCACCCATCCATCCTCTGTCTCAAGTGAATGCAGTACTTGGGAATGGGAATGGTTATGGCTTGCTTCTACTCTCCAGTGATGAATGGCTACTTGTCACCTGGTTAGTGGATGATGAGGCAGGCATAGGCTAAGAAAGAAGCTCAGTGATGAGCAGTAAGGAAATTCTGCAACTTGATCTTAGCCGTGTCTTAGCTTCTAATACTTTGTGAAATGTAATTTGTCAGGCTCTCAGTATCCAGCTTTCGTGTCCGCTTTCTGACTGATCTTTACTGTTTGTTAAAATAGGCCTGGATCTCACAGTGCCAGTCCACCCATATCTATGGTCCTAAGAGTGATTAGGAACCTGCATGGCCTCTTACTCATGCATATTCCAGAAATGGCACATTCATGTGTCACACAGACCTTGAGGGCTTAGCATTTAATAGTCATGATCCCATTGCTGTCCTACCAGTCCGACCTGTAAGTTAAAAGTTGTGCATTTCCTTTTAGTATTCTATCTTATTCACTAACCAGTTACTGTGTTATGACTGTAGAGTTTATCACATGATATCAAGCCATTTAAATTTTGAATCCTCTAGAATTAATGTTTGCATGTTTCAGGAATTCCCCAGAAGAGCTTGTCTTGCTCAGAGGAATTCAGGGAATTGATGGCCCTGCCCACATTTGGAGCCCGAAACTTAAAGCATTTAGCCAAAGCCAAGGCTTCAGGTACAGTCAGTGTATGTAATTATGGTGTGGGTGCCCATGTTCCCTAGACCTCTCCCACAGCTCCTAGTATGTGCCTTGTTTTAGGCATAATGGGGAGCCCAAAACCTGCCATCCAGTCTATCTCTGCATCAGCCCTCTTGAAGCAGCAGAAACAACAGATGCTAGAAATGCGGAAGAGGAGGTCAGAAGAAATACAGAAACGGTAAGAGTTCCACTCCCTGTTTGGATAGCTCATCCCAGGAGACCTCAGGACATTCTAGTAGACTTTTGAAGGTGGCTGCCGATTTGGGTTGGCTGTATTTTTTGATATAACTTAAATGACCCTCAGCTATCTGCCTCTAACTTACGCTACTGTTCCCAGAGACTGCTGGTACAGAGGAGAACAGTTAGTATGGCCCTGGGAAGGATGAAGAAGGGAGGTGTGAAGAGGCTTTCTGAACACTAACTTGACTTCAGTGTCTTATCTACAAAATGAGAAGTTTGGGTGGGGTGGGCTGGGGTGGCTCTGAAGTAAAGCCCCAGACTTTGTTATTTTAAAGGGGTCAAGTGTGGAGCTGACAAGATGGCTCAACAGGTAAATATGATTGCCACCAAAGCCATACAAGCTGAGTTCCAGCCCCAGGCCAATAGTAAAAGCATAGAACCATCTCCCACAAGTTGTCCTCTGACCTCTTATATGTACACTGTGATGGGCATGTATGCATGCATACAGACATAAATAAATAAGTAAAAGCAATATTTTGAAAGTGTCAAGCATAGTAGCACATGCCTATAATACCAGCCCTTGAAGGCAGAGGCAGGAGGGCTGTAAGTTCAAGCCACAGGGTGACCCTGTAGGAAGATACTTACACATCCTTCTTGAGAAGATAAGGGATTATAAGGGACTGCCTGTGGATGTTGTAAACAACTATAAAATAAGAAATTCATTTACTAAAAGAATTTTTTCTTGTGATTTTTGCATCTCGTGAAACTTACCATCTAATTTTGTACTATAATTGGTCAGGGCTGAGCAGATATATCATGTGTTTGTAGAGTGTTCTCACACTGAAATTGTCTTAAATAAAGTGTAACTCAGTCATTATTGGAAGGATGGAAGGTTGGTTTTAAGTCAGACAGGGTGGTGCATACCTGTAATCCTAACACTGATGAAGCTAAGGCATATCTGTCTGTTCAAGGCCTTGTGATATATAGTAAGACCCTGTCTCATGTAGCTCAGGTTGGTTTTGAACTCATTATCCTCCTGGCTCTGCCTCCCAAGTATAGGAATTTTAGGCATGTACCACTACATACCTGGCTTGAATTGTTTTCCTAATATGTTCAATCTATATTAAAGAATCACTGTGTAGATTGTAGTGCCATTTTTGTTAAGGATTTTTTTTTAATTCTTTGACAGTTTCATACATGTCTATAAGGAATTTTATCATTTCACCCCTAGACCATTACACCATCTCACCTCTCCTCCCTTGTGAAGGATGTTCCCTTCCTGTAGGATAAATTGAAAAGCGGGGAGATTCATGCAGCTCTGGGGGTCTTACAGCTAACCACAGCGATACCTCCACATTGCAATTGTTGGTGTGTGATGTACACAGTTATCTTCTGCAAAGCCAGTTGGTGAAACAGTCGTCAGTTAGGAAGGAATAGAACAGCTACAGTGTATTCAGTTAGCCAAGAGTGAATGAAGCTGCTGTTGTTCTTAGCTAATTTGAATTATCAACCAAAGAAAGGAAATAGTTTACCAACAGTTAGTTGTCCTCTCTTGCTTATCTGGGATGTCCCAGTCCACTTTGAGTTCTAGACTTCAAGTCTTTTGAGACTTGAGTAAATATTTATTTACTTTGAGTTTTGGTTGTGGGATGAAGCCCAGAGCCTGGGTCATGCTAGACAAATGATGTGGTACATACTACATACTCACCCCAATATTTAGTTTCTTCATATTCCTTTTAAGATTCCTTCAAAGCTCAAGTGAAGTCCAGAGCCCAGCATTGCCATGCTCATCTCTACAGTCTGCTGCCCAATCTCCTCGAGTTGGGGCCGAGTTCCCCAGGTTGGAAAGAACCACAGCCCCACGGATGCCTAAGCTTGGTACAGGCATCTCAGAAGGGGATGACATTCTCTTTTTTGATGAATCACCACCACCAAGACCAAAACTGAGTGCAGCAGCAGAAGCTAAAAAGGTAACTGTGGTGCCTGGAGACAACTCAGTCAGTGAAGTGCTTGCTGTGCTAGAGGCCCTAAGTTTGGATCCCTAGCACTCATGTAAGAAGCTAGGCGTGGTGGCTGCTAATAATGCTAGCACTAGCAGAGGAGGGGAGAACACACAATTGACTCATGTTGGCCAAGTGGTGGATTCTGGGCTCAGGGAAAGATCTCAAAAGATAAAGGAGGTTGGGGCTAGAGAGATGGGTCAGGGTCAGAGTACTTGGATGCTCTTGTAGAGAACCTGGGTTGGGTTTCTAGACCTACATTAGACAGCTCACACAGCTTCTATCTCCAGTTCCAAGGGATCTAACACCCTTCTCTGCCCTCCAGAGCATCTGTACACAAGATACACAGACAGATAGATAAGCAGGCACTCAGACACACAAATAAATAGAATTTAAATGAATAAGGTGAGAGTGATCAAAGAAGAAAGATTGGTGTCAATTTCTGGCCTCTACAAGCTCAAGTATTCACATACACTATAAACACCCCAGGGTTGTTTTAGTTTTTGTTTTTGCTGGCTTCTGTTTTCATTGCTTGGCTTTGCATCCTGTGACAAGAGATTGCATTTGAACCCTTAAGCTAATGTCCAGGAAAGATGCTCACTTAGCAGCTATTTACCAATCATCCTAAATAGATTCAAAGTAATTTGCAATAATAATGGTGTTAGCATACTGCCATTAGTCTAATCCAAGAAAGTGAGAGCCATTATCTCAATGCAATTTCTTGTCAGTCTATAGGAGGTATTAGCATTAGACAAAAAATTCCTGTAAGTGTTGAGGTAAGGCTGCAAAATAATGGTAACAGGTCTAGCTTCTTAACCAGGACTGCAACTGTATTTAGGGGGCTCTTGTGACTAAAGTTATGAGTCATGAAAATTATTTTACTAATGAAAGATTATGAACACACAATGTCAGAAATTAACTGAATCCAGGCTGCTCCTGGTAACCCCTGCCCATGCTGATGGAGAGACTTCTATAGTCTTGCTTCTGAATCCATCACATGCACGCTGTGTCTACTGCACTTACCATCATAGCACACAGCACCAATGAACACTATCTGAAACACTTTGGCTCATGTTCCAGACTGTTCTATATTTTTGTTTGCTTTTGATGTTTTTGGTATATGCATAATTTTCTACTCTTATAGAAACATACTTTAGTTACAGAAACTAAACATACTGGTTTGATTACAGCAAGCAATGACATTTAATATTTTCCTATCATTCCTCAGCATATAAGTATCAAATTAGTATACCTCTGAAATGTATTGTGTTAGAATATTTTATTTTAAAAGTTGCTAAATGAATTTTTGGCTTGAGATTAGGATAGACTTTCTAGCAATATCCAGAAGGGCCCTAAACATACTTTCTGCTAATTCATAGTGCTTATTTCTGTGAAACATCTTTTAAAGACCTAGTTCTTTGTTATCTGTTTATAGACCTGTGTCTGTTCTATCAAATCTTAGTAATCATGTGTGGTCTTTTTAATGTGTGTGCATGTGCACATGTCACGCATGTGGTGGTCAGAGGACCACCACAAGGGTTCCCAGGTTGGAACACACATACATCATCAAGCTTTTTTGACGGGGCCATCTCACCAGCCTGATTTCTATTAGAGAACAAAGGGTGTGGGGCTACAGGTATCGGTCTCATCTCAACTCTTGTTTGCTTGTTTGTTTTTTCTAGTTAGCTGCTATTGCAAAATTAAAGGCAAAAGGCCAGATCCTTGCAAAAACAGATCCAAACAGTATTGTAAGGAAGCAGATGAACCGCCAAGATGTGTTGGATGTGAAGGAGCGTGCAGAGAAGAGCAACATGGTTTCTCCTGAAGGTATTGCTGCTTCAGTCAGTAGTGGGAGAGACAGATCCTGTTTGTGAAGGAAGTGTTCTAAACAGCGCTAGTGCCCTGACATTCTGTTGGTCTCCAAATAGTCCAAGTTGTGATCACTCCAACTCTCTTCTTGCTCCAGTAGCCTGAGGCCTAGGTTTACAGTCAGGTATCACCTGCTGGGCTCATCGAGACACTCTTGTATAATCACAGTAACTTAGAGTGGAGTTATGTACAATATGAGCACATGGGGAAAGGATTGTCACTGAATCTTCATGCATTTTATATTAACATGAAGATTTTTTTAAAGGAATGTAATTCCTTTGTTTTAATTTGCTGTTTGTCTTTTTAAAGCATGAGAGTTGCTAAATGTCATTTAAAATGGCTTAAGTCAAATCTTCGTTCTTTTCTGTCATTGTAATCAGAAGTGAAGGACAGCCTATTCTTGTTATCAGGGATGCTCTACCTCATATCCTAGGCATTTTTTGTTACTTATTTGTTTGTTTGTTTGTTTGTTTGTTTGTTTGTTTGTTTGTTTTTAGCAAAGTCTCATTATGTAGCCCAGGTTGTCTTCAAAGCTGGCAATCCTCCTGCCTTACCTTTGCCAATAATGGGACCACAGGCCCTAATGGCCAGCTTTCTGTTCACTCTTGAAGTCACCCCTGCCAGTTACAAGTGGGATCCTGATGTCAGGGTTGAAAGTCTGGAAGGCATAGAAAGAGTAGAAGGGAACTGATTGGTAAAGCACACTGGTTCCTTCAGTCCTCTCAGCAATAGCCAATGTTGTTCTGCAGATGAATTGGAGCCTGCCAGAAAAAAAAGGAGAGAGCAACTTGCCTACTTAGAATCAGAGGAATTCCAGAAAATTCTAAAAGCAAAGTCCAAGCACACAGACATCCTGAAAGAGGTAAGCACCTAAGGGATCTGATCAGTGTCGTTCAAAATGAGGTGCTGGTCAGGCTGTTTGCTTCTCTACACAGGTGAAGAAGTACGTATATGGCTATGTGGTTCCCTTTGAGAAGCAGGGATATTTCAGATGCATGCATACGAGAACATCGGAAGACAACTCTGTGCTGTATACTAGCTGCCCCACAAGCTTTTGGCCATTTCTCCTGTTTCTTCATAGGGTCACAGATGTGTGCTAACGCAGCCAGCTTTTTTAAATGGGTTCCAAGTATCCAACTCAGGTGGTTAGGCTTGCAAAGCAGGTGTTCTTAACCACTGCGCCATCTGCTTGGCACCCTCGAGTAACATTTTAACTTTGCATTTGTCCTTGCTGTGAAGAACAACAACTGATGTATTATTAAATAGACTGCCACATCATAAAACATGTACATATTGTTTGACTATGTTATATTGAAGTAATGTTTACTACTTGCTATTTTCTTCTCTATAATATGAAAGAAATTTTTTCCCATTCAGACTATTTTATATTCACATTTTAGGTGTGTCCAGCCAACAGTTAACCCCATCACTCCAAATCCCCTTTAATAAGTATTATAATAACAATCATCCTTATTAAAATTCATGGATAGTATGAATTGTCTATACTTAACAGTTTCAGAGATATTATTATGATATACAAACTATATGAGCTAGCTTACTCTAGGAGGAACAATGTAGTAGTCAGAGGCTTGAATCTGAAAGTGTAAATGAGACAGCCTAGAACTGAGGCTTCAGGAGAACCAGAGTGAGTTGTTCTAGAAATTCAGTACAGGCCTTCATAAACACAGGAGCCACCTAGTCATGTTCTTAGAGTAGTCAAATTGTGCAGAAAATCATTCTGTATGTTATAATCAGTTCCTGTACATATGTCTCCTAGAGCACACTGTATCTGTTAGGACAAGGACAGTTCCTGTGTCACATAAAGAGTGCAGAAAAGTAGCACCCTAATGCCTGCTAGAGTCGAAGGAGCAGTCATTTACTTAACAGATTCTCAGAATGTCGCTGGGGAGTGCACTATCCCAAGTACCTGTTCCTGTACGTGATCAATACTTAACAAAGGGTCTTTCCACTGAACTGAAACTCAAAAGGGGTGACAAAGGCAGCATCAGAGACCCCAGGCTGAATTCTTCGTGTGTCCCCAAAGGCGCTGTGCACACTCTCATCACCTTGTGCAACTACCCCAACTCCAAAGCTATGTCATCACTCTTCAGAAACACCTCCCTACCCTCATACCTACTGTTCCAATACTTGGGGTATTCTTGTGCCTGAGCACTTGTAGACACCAGTACCTAGCAGATGGGGTGACCATCCAAGGGGCCGTGTGCACCTTCCCTCTGTAGAATCTGTTTGGAGCAATGTGTTTATTAACATGGCCAATAATGTCACTGGATTTTATTTGAATTTGTCTTTTAAAAAACAAATGCCTTTAGGTCTTTTTATCCTTTTATTCCCTATCTTAAGGGCTCTTTTCTACCTATTATGATCTTTGGTTTAAGTCAGTTTACTATATGAAGAGTTCTGACATCTTGCGTGTTTCTTCAGTTCTGTTTTGATGGTTCTTGAACTAAATGCTGTGGTTACTATTGAACCATTCTGAGTAGTGTTGGCTTTGGTGCAGTTACTCCTGTGGGTTTTGTCATCAGGCCGAGGCTGAACTACAGGAATCCTATTTTGAGCCACTGGTGAAAAAAGAACAAATGGAAGAAAAGATGAGAAACATCAGAGAAGTGAAATGCCGAGTAGTGACGTGTAAGACGGTGCGTGCAAGGCTGGGCCTTGGACTGTGGGCCTCTTTTCATAGCTGGGTTTGTGATGTCATTTGTAAGGTGTACTGTTTTTCCACCCGCCACCACTCTGGTGGACTCACCACAGCTTTGGGACATTTGCCTCTTCCTTACTGCAAAGGAGATCTTTGCCGCTAAAGCAGACCTGAGAAGGCACTTACCGCTTAACATTTTTTGCCCATTTCCGCATGGGACTTTGCATTTGCGTAGAGCCGCTCGGCGGTACCCGCCCGGCGGCACCCGCCCGGCTAGCTCAGTCAGTAGAGCATGAGACTCTTAATCTCAGGGTCGTGGGTTCGTGCCCCACGTTGGGTGCCATTTGTAAGGTGTACTGTTTTTCCACCCGCCGCCACTCTTGTCCAGCAGCTGCGCCAGCCCCAAATAACACACAGAGACTCTGTATTTGGTACAATACTGTTGGCCCGGTTACTTGTTTCTTATCGGCTAGCTCTGCCTTTAATTATTAACCCATTTTTGCTGATCTATGTATCTTCAGTCATTGAGTTAAGCTGGAAAATAAACAGCACAAGATAGACAAGGTCCGTGCTCCCTGCCAGACCTGGGAACTGGGCAGTGGAGATTCTGCTTTGTGACCACTGGGACCAAGTTGTTCCTATTGCTGTTTGTCAAGTTCCGACAAATCCTGTTGTATTGATGGTTCAAGGTTTGCTATTTCTGGAAACTTGACCAAACTTTTTTAAAAGAAAAAAAAATTATGTAGCACTGACCTGAAACCTACTGTGTCCCAGGCTGCTGTCCTAGAGCTTGCAACCCTTCTGTTTCAGCCTCCCAAATACTGGGAATAGAGACAGGCACCTCCAAGCTCAGCCTTCCTAACATCGCAGGGTCAATGAATGTTACTATATGCTTCTGCTTAACTGGAACTGGGGCAGACATTGGGGAAAGTGGTGTAAGAGAGAGTCAAGAAATCCACTGAGCCTGGTGTGGTGGCTGTGCCTCCAGCCCCAGCATTCGGGAGGTGGAATAGGAGGCTTCCCCAAGCATGAGTGTAAGACCAGCATGGGCTACAGAACCCTGTAATCACAGAGTGTGGAGGACCCTGGTACTTGCTCCTAGACCCTCCTTCAAAGCCCCTCACTGGACATGTGGTTTGTGTCGTCTGTGCAGTGCACCTACACCCACTTCAAGCCTCTGGAGACCTGCATCAGCGAACAGCATAACCTCCATTGGCACGATGGCATGAAGAGGTTTTTCAAATGTCCTTGTGGAAACAGGACTATCTCCCTTGACAGGCTCCCAAATAAGCACTGCAGGTATGAAAATGGCATGGGCTTCTCTGTAGTACTTTCTTTATGGTCCCTGGAACATGAGATCATCACCCTATGCCTTCCTGTAGCTCCTGATAACCCTCAGGCCTCCTCCAGGTGCAGGGTGTGCATGGTGGTGGGCTGGTGGGTCTTCACTAGGGTGAGTGGTGTGTACAGCCTGTGGCTGGGAGAACAGTTGCTTTTCAGACAGCAGGCTGTACTTACAAGAATGGTGTTCTCCCAGCCTCTGGTCAATTCTTCACCTAGAACATTCTCCGGGAAACATAAATGAATGCCTAATTGTGTCTCTCACTGGAATGGGTGTTGCCCTGTTGTACCATCTCCTAAAACTTCATCTCTGAACTCTCCAGATTACAGAGGAGGTGAAGGCCATTTCTCAGTTCACTGAAGGCTTATTCTTTGTTGATTCAGAGCATAACCATAGAGAGGTATATGAGTACCTCCTTGAATAGCTCTTCCTTGAATGAAGGGACAACTTTTCTCCTAAGTGACACTCCCACCCACACTGTCTTCATGTGCACGGGGTCGGGAGTCCGTTAATACCTTTCTACTGAGTAAAGCCTTTTTGTTTTCCTGTTTTAGTAATTGTGGCCTGTACAAGTGGGAGCGGGACGGAATGCTAAAGGTATGTATGGTTGTCTGTTTTTCATTGCAGCAACAAAAACCACCTGAGATAATCAACTTTAAAAGAAGGAAGGGTTACTTTGTTTGGATCACAGTTCCTCAGTTTCTGCCTGGTCAGTAGTCTGTGGCCTTGTTTCTAATCCTGTGGTGAAGCAGCAAATCATGTTTGTCAGGAGCACCAAGCTGGTCCCAAAACTGTAACACATGGCCTTGGGGTCATTCTAAATGTTATCTGTACTGTGTCCTACTTGCATTCTAATTCATAATTGAGTTGGTGACTCAGGAAAATAAAGATAAACCATTTCTTATTCATGTAATCTCCTTTTTCTAGGAGAAGACTGGTCCAAAGATCGGAGGAGAAACCCTGTTGCCAAGAGGCGAAGAGCATGCCAGGTTTCTGAATAGCCTTAAATAACCCTCTCTGCAAGTGGTTTCTCATCCCCGGCCTTTGTTCTTGTGGCTCTGAAAAAGCAAGAGATTGGCTCTATGTTGTCCTTCCTGATTGACACTACGAGTCAGAAGTGCTTGATGAGCACACTGCCTGCTCACTTCCCTCTGTGAGCTGGTTTGACATTATAGTTAATATTAAATACATGTTGGAAATCAGTATGCCATGGTGTTTCCTGCTCGCACTTCAGTGCCTGCCTTACAGCAGTCACACAGATTTTTGTTCCCAAACTGAAAGGTGACCAGAGAGCTGTGTTTCTGTGCTTCCTTGTTGGAGGCAGGGAATGCATTTTTTTTTTTTTTTTAATCACAGTCGAGTTCAAGTGTTAATATGGATGGACACCCAAGAGACAAAAGAGCAAATTTAACATGGCTACTGGCTTCCTTGTGTGTAAAATGAATCAAGTCACTGAGCCAGTTTGTGACTCCGTTCATTGATATTGGAAGGGAAGTTGCTCTGCTCACAATGCTGAGGGACTCTGAGATAGAAATACCTGAAGGTGGGTTCATTTAAAATAAAGCAGACATACACTTGAAGCCGTAAAGCATGACTCAAAAACCTACTGTGCAGACAGAATCCTGGGGGTTGCAGGTATACTTCATTATGTATGTCAGGAATCTGAAGGGTAAAACTGCTGTTTACCCCAGGAAACAGTTCTTGAGATCTAGCCACCATCCTCTTAGGAGTGTTGTACTTACAGGAGGGTTTGGACTTTGCTTTCTAACTTAAAGAAAAATAGTGCTTGTTACTTGAAACTGCGATTTGTACCTGAAGTCAGTGGGTGGCTCGGCTACCTGGCACTTGGACAGTGGGTTGCGCTTTGAGCCGCCTTTACTATGCGGGACAGTGTTCTCATCTGAACAGGGCATGACTGGAGTCTTCACTTTGCATGCTGTCTTTAAAATGGTTATATGTTTACAAAGCTTCATGGTGACCTCAGTCTAGATGCCTTTGTTTTTAAACTTTAATTTTAACTTTCTAAATGATTGGAAACACAGTGGAGCCACATCCCACTTACACTGAATATTGGAAGGCTTTGATTTCTGTGCATTGTGTGTGTGGTTTCCCAGAATATTCAGGGGTAAGGAGGGGTAGAGAAAACAACTCATGAGCCTTGAAAATATTCATTAATGGAATTAGTCTTTTAATCCTGCTTTTTAGTGCTTTTACCAACTATTAAATACTTTCATACAAACTCAATATGTGTTTCTCTTTTTTCTTGATTTATTATCGGTGCCATATTGTATCATCAGGCAGTTAGAATAGGGTAAATGTTTAGCAAGTAACAGAAACTGGCTGCATCTTTTACCGAGAATAAGGCTGATCTGAATGTTTCTTCATGCTGGTTTGTTTTGTTTTATTTTGGGTTTTGGTATTTTGTTTTCTCTGTGTAGCTGTTCTGGAACTCACTCTGTAGACCATACTGGCCTTGAACTCACAGAGATCCTCCTGCCTCTACTTCCCAAGTGCTGGGATTAAAGGTGTGCACCACCACCAGTCAATGATGGGTTTTTGTTGTTGTTGTTGTTGTTGTTGTTGTTTTCTATGTTTCTGTTTAGAAAACAATAAATTCTTAGATAGCAATCTTGCAGAATAGCAAATAGGCACCTTCTGAATGACCAGTGAATGTTTTCCAACAGAAACTGAAACAACAGCAGCTCCAGGGTAGCCAATGTTTGCAAAGTAAACAGGAGTTGGTTAAAAAATGTCTCAAGGCACTTATTTGTTTAAGGGGATGGGAGGTGAAGCAATGTCTCAGCAGTGAACAGTCAGTACTCTTCCAGAGGAGCCAGGGTTCACTCCCAACACCCACAAGGCCTTACCCCCCTCACCCCACTTTCTGGCCTATATAGTATACTTACATGCGAGCAAAACACTTCTACATGTAAAATAAGAATAAATACAGTCTGTTTTTTAAAAAGCAGAAGCACTATTCTGTTTGCCTGTCACTGATAGCCATCAAAACTACTCTGTCATGAAAGCATTACCATCTGTGGTAGAGCTTAGATACACAGAGGCTCTCCAGAACTGTGGAGAATTCAAAAAGTGAAATTCTACATTTGCCAGTATTTGAAAAAGAAATGAGAGGTCAGTTGGCTAAAATTGGAAGCAATTTGTAGGAAAACTTCAAAAAGGATTTTAAAATTAAAAGTACAATCACCAGGAATGTATCATTAAGCCACTTTTCAGTCAGCCAACCCAGACACTGTCCATAGGAAACCATGTAGAAAAGAATTAACTTTCTATTATTTTCTGTTTGTCTTCTCCTAGATTTTAAGATAAATGGCATGATACAGAACACACTTCGATGTCTGGCATCTCACTTGGCATGACATTGTGAGATTCATCTGTGTTTCTGCATGTATCCATAGTTACTCCAAGGATTCCACTCTATGGGTATACCTGTAGTTGGTTTATGTAATCACCTGTTGCTGGACATTGTGGTTGGGTCATTCTGCCTTGGGGCTGTGACTAAAGCTTCTATAAGCATCCACTCAGAATACATACATATATATCGTAGGTCTTTTAGGTAAAGTCTAGAAATGGAATATATAGGATGTATCATAAATATATGTGTGTTAGCTTTATAAGACACTGCCAGCCTTACTCTAAAGTGGTTATACTCTATTAAACCATCTAGCAAGTGCATGGGAATACAATTTTCATTTGCTCCACAGCCTTACCAACACCTGATACTGCCAGTCTTTTTTAATTTTAATTTGTCTCTGTTTGTGTGTGTGCGCGTGTGCGCGCGCACGTGCTCTTTCTGTGTATGTACAAGTATCCACAGAGGCCAGAAGACATCAGAAATCCTGGAGCTAGAGCTACAGGCTGTTGTGAGCTTCCCTATATGGGTGCTAGGAAGCAAACTCGCCTCCTGAAAGAGTAGCAAGTGCTCTGTTAAGTCTTCTCCTCAGCCCCTTGTCAGTCTTTTTAAATTTAACTATTGTGATCAGTGTGTAATGGCATCTCATTGCAGTTTTAATCCTTATCACCAGTACTGTTCACCATCTTGTAGTGTTCTGTTCACCAGCCAACTGTGTGTGTGTGTGTGTGTGTGTGTGTGTGTGTGTGTGTCATTGGGCTGAGTTATAAAAGCTATTTATATTCTGAATACAAATGCTTTTACCATGAAAGACTCTGAAGATTGTTGTGTATGGTCTAAAGCAGTGGTTCTCCACCTTCCTAATGCTGTGACCCTTTAATACATACAGCTCCTCGTGTTGTGGTGACCCCACACACACACACACACACCATAAAACTACTTCATTTCTACTTCATAACTGATTTTGCTATGTTATGAATCATAATGTTTTGAAGATAGAAGTTTATCAGAAGGGTCACGACCACTGAGAACCTCTGGTCTAGAGAATGATCTGCACTAGCCATATTTTTTATTTTGAATGAATGACTTCATTAAGTATATTTAAAAAGAGTTAAAGACTATATAGCAAGTGATATTCAGCTAATGTGCATGAGGTCAGAGGACAACTTGACAATAATTGGTCCTACTGTGTGAGTCTTGGAGATTGAACTCATACATCATCAGTCTTGCACTTTTACTCTTTGAACCATCTCACCAAACCAAATTATGAAGCTCTTAGCAAAGCATTAGAACACTACTGTTTGAAAATAAATGAATTAAGTAACCCAACCAAACAGGGATGCACATGACAAGTATACAGAAAATACAAGACTTGTGGGGCTTTGAGAAATCACCAGCCTCTTCCCTGGAAGTCTGAGTAAATAAAATCACCCCTAGATCATAGTTTCCTTGGTCCCTGTCTTTGGGGTAGTGCTGGGATTGAGCCCAGGATCTTGAACTTGGTAGGCATGTGCCTTCCAGTTCAGCTCCCACCTGCCAGTATTTGTAAATAAAAATGTGAAACTGATTGATAGAAATTAGTAGGATTCCTGGTCCTATTACCTTTGGCATCATCACCAGGGAATGATAGTGCTTGGCTTTTAGTGAAGGAGTTCTAGGCTGAATTTGAAAGCTTAAGTATAATGGACCCTTTGTTGGGGCCTGGAGTAAGTGAGGTAAAAGAATTCCTCCTAGCCCCTGCTGCCAGAATTCTTTATCTAGAGTCGGTATGCCAAGTTGCAGCCATTGAAGAGGCAAGGGCAGACTGTTTAGGGTTTTTTAAACTTATTTTTTAAACTGGCTGTTCTCCCAAATCTGACTTACTTTTGGACATCTATTGCTTCCCTCAGACACAACAGGCTGGTGGCTGTGTGGTATGGCCCATCTACCCGTCCACTAGCCTGTGGGAGGAGATGCCAACCAGGTGTGAATGAAAGGGGGTCAAATTGACAGGGTCAACCAGGTTAGGACCCTGTCTCCCTAGAAAGTAGAGAGCATTACTTGGCCTTTCTTCTGTTTCCCATCTGGGTGTGCATTCACCAGCTCAACAACCACAGACTGAAAACACTGGAAACGAAGATTGAATCTGCACTGGCTTCAGACATTTTTGTCATTGTTCTCAAAATAATAGTTTGAGAATAATACTATTTACATTGTATTACATTTGTATAATCTATAGACAAACGAGCATAGAAGAGAATGGGGGGGGCGGGTTATGGGCAAATGCTACTTGTACATGCTTTGTATAGAAACTGGCCTCTTTAGATATTGGTAACTCTGAGACCCAGTCTTCTCATACCAAGAGACAACTGTAGCCAATTTAGAAAGCACTTTGTCATCCTAATTACTCATCCAAGGGATAAGTTCTCAAGGCCTGTGTTGTCATCCAGCTCCTGGCCAACCAAAAGGAGCCAGAGTCCAACCTCCCTTGGATCGTTAGCCCAACAACATGCAATCCAGCCACCTGAGCTCACACCAGGCTAAGCTTGCCTCACTGCCCACACATTATCCCCATTAGAAAGGCTCACCACCCTTCATGTTTGGTGGCCTAGGGATGGATGAAAATGGGTCGGCCTGGGAGTTCTAAGTGGATCAGGTATGTAAAGGAGCCGCCCACGGAGAACAAACTTAGGAATTAAAATTAGAAAATGGTTTAGGGCTCTTACTCTGTCCCTTTGGGATGGGATGGGAAGCAGGTGGAATCTGTGTGAGTCTCTTACCTAGTAAATCAGAGAAGAGCATCTCTGAACTTTGCTCTTCTCAAACCCAAGTGTTTTCTCCAGTTTGGATGAGAGGCTGACAGATAGAAGTCAACCAGTCAAATCCTTTCTGTTGAGATTTATCTCAACATCAAAATGCCAGTTCCTCTCATGTAACCTCAGCATCCTCAGGTAACATAATAAAAATAGCTATAAAATATTTAAGTGCCTGCCGGGCTTTTAGTTTATGCCACTTTTCCCCAGTGTTAGTGCATGCTAACTTACATGCATGGCATGTCCAGAGGGCAATGTAGAGCAACAACTGTTAGCTTTCCATTCCTACAATAAACACTTGGATACAAGCAGGATATAAAGAGAAAGGAGTTGGGTTCCTTTTTGGTTTAGATACTTCAATCCATGGTCAACTGGCCCTGTGGCTCTGCGTGAGACCCCTTTCATCATGGCAGGAGCATACGGCACTCATTTCTTGGTGCACAATCCCCATGAGGTGTTTGTCCCAGAACACCTCCTTCTCAGCCCACCTGTACAAGTTTCCACTACCTGCTAGCAGCACAAAATCAAATGCTAATCTTTTAATACCTGGCTTTTGCAGATAGATAGTCCAAAGTCAAACTATAGCAGCTAGGCTCCTGAACAGCTTTTCTGTTGGGGCTAGGCCTCACCCAGAAGCATTGTGTGTAGGAATATGCAAACCGTGCAGGTGAGTGTATACTGATAAGCTGCTGAGGTCTGGAAAGTGAGATGGCACCAGCAATAGTGTGGTGTTTTTTATGTTGTTTTGGTTTTTTGAGACAGGGTTTCTCTGTGTGGCTTTGGAGCCTGTCCTGGAACTAGCTCTGTAGACCAGGCTGGCCTCAAACTCACAGAGATCTATTTGCCTCTGCCCACCCCCCTTCCCGAGTGCTGAGATTAAAGGCGTGTGCCACCAACACCTGGCAATAGTGTGTATTTCAAGGGCCCCTTCCCAGAGACTTACCTGTGAATGTTTTCAAATCATGGATACTACAATTTGTAGAAGTTAGGGCCCGTATTTCACCATTTTACTGAATAAAAAGTTAGGGACATTGGTTTCAATATGAAAAGAGTTATGGAGGAAAAACATAAAAACACAGAAAATTCTCTAAGCACCTGCTATCCCACAGAGAAACTTCCTCATGTGGAAATTGGACCAACCTGCATCATGACCACTATATTGAAGCTTCCAGTAAAGAAGCCCACACAAATACTCCACAGAAAAGAGAGATGGCTGTGTACCCATGGCACTACAGAAATATGTCATGCCACTATGAACTGGACGTGGGTTAGGTTTTGCTGTGAGGGGACTTGTATTCCAGGCTGGATTCCCCTAGCTTTGAAAGAAGAGCACCAGGCGCTGGGAAGAAGGTGGTTCCTCCATTCTGCTTGTCTAGTGTTTCAGTTCTTAAAGATAGGGTGGTAGGTGTAGCTCAGTGGGACAGCATGTGCTCAGCATGACCCTTGGACACATGGCTGGCTCCCTTGGAGCCATCTTACAATGATACACAAGGTTGATTCAGCATGTTTATTAATAGGCCATAAGCAAAGTTAAATAAAATCTGTTTGCTGCAATCCTTTTAACTGTCCTATCTTATGGGCGTTCTAATTCTAATTCATAAAGATTTGATGCTGGGAAGAAACCCAGATGGTAGCTCTCAAGAAAGAAAGGAAGGAAAAAAGGAAAGAAGGAAGGAAGGAAAGAAGGAAGGAAGGAAGGAAGGAAGGAAGGAAGGAATCACCCACAAAGAAGCAAAAGCCAGGCATTGTAAGACATCAGAATAAAGGGTGTGCATTCCCAGGAGCTGTTGGCCTGGGCAGTCCCCGAGCTTCCCCTTGTGGGCCTATCTGTTGCAGAGAGGCAGGTGTGTAGGGGACCTGGTGGCATGTCTCACACCCCACTCCCCTAGTTGCTTCAGGTTGAGGTCAGACATGATGGCGGTTGTAGAGGTAGGGAGGGTACAGGCCGTCATAATGCCACTGCCGCCACTGCTCCACTGCCTCCCTGGTCCTTTCTTCCTGCTCTGAAGAGAAAAGGCAAAGGTCATTGTGCAGACTAGAGGACACCCAACTCAGCTGCAGGTTTTGAACAGCCACAGCATCTGCTGAAGGGACATGGAGCTGAGTGTCCCTGTGTGCCAGGGACAGAGCTGGGAGGGGCCGATGAGCATTTGTACAAAGGTTTCTATTTTGGAGCCAGCAAGAGGATAAAAGTCAGAGCTGGTTGCCAACAGAACTAAAACTAAGGCGTCCAAACTGCCTAACCTCTAATACACTGCCAGCAAGGAGGGCAGGAGTCTTAACCATCACTGCCTAAAACAAATGACTAGACACCAAACTAACAAGTAACATAATGGCCACGTGGGAACACAAGCCACGCCTTGAAAACTTACGTATGAGGACCAGTGACATGGCTTCTCTGGGGGTAACAACCTGAGTTCCATTCCTAAAACCCACATAAAAGGAGAGAACAAACCCCCACAAATTGCTTTCTCACCTCTACCTGCACATACGCACACTCAAATATAACAGAATAATTTAAGGACAAAAGTGGACATTATTGACAGCATGGAGTGATGCATCATGGGTACTTGTTCTCTATAAATTGCTTTGTTTTGCTTTTTTGAGATAAAATCTTACTATGCAGCTTAGGCTGGAATTCATGATCCCCCTGCATTAACTTCCTGGGTGCTTGAATTATAGATATGTGCCACCATACCTGGCCCCTTCTATATCTTCTAAGCTTCAAAAATAAAATTTTATTGTCAAAACTAGTTGGGAAAGGGACAGGTGACATAAGTGTCAGACACCATGGCTACTGAGGATGTCTCACTTCTGTGTGAGCCTATAGGATGCTTTCTCCCCTTGGTGCTGAAATTCCCTCCTGTATTTGGTACCTGGGACAACCAGGTACACACAGAGCCCAGCCTTGGCAGGGGTTTTAGCCTTCCAGACATTTCTCAGGCTCAGTGAGCAACTCCTCTTCCAGAGGCAACTTGAACATTGATGCTGATTAAGCACCTTTTTGTTGTTGATCATGTGTCCCTTTCAGGAAGCAGCTCACTTGGGCAAGCTCAAACTTTCAGTGGCTTAAGAAGATTGCTAGCTGAAAGCACGTTGGCATGGAGCTCAGAAGAAAAAATTGCTGGCAACTTGAGACTGACCTGGGCCCATATGTGTGGCAGTTGTTTAACTTGATCTACTTGTGTGATTCCTAGTGTGGGAGCAGTCTGTCCCTAACACTTTGACTGACTCTCAGGAACCTGTTCCTCATACTGTGTTGCCTTGCCCAGCCTTACTATTAGGGGAGGGGCTCCATCCTATCTCAACTTGGCATGCCATGCATCGTTGACACCCATGGGAGGCCTGTCTCATTCTGAACAGAAACAAGAGGAGTGGACTGGGGGAGAGGGGCAGGTGGATGGGAGGAGAGAAGGGAGGGGGAACTGCATTTGGGATGTAAAATAAATAAATTTAATTAATAATTTCAAAAAGGGTACCTTACTGCAAATTGTTACATCTGGTTTATACCTTTCAGTATTTGTTATTTTTCGCCACCAGGGTCCTAAAAAATCACATAAATAAAAGTATTTTACAGGGGAAAAAAAGTTGCAGATGTATGCAAGGTAACAGCCCAGACAGCTGGACCGCTGAGACAGATGTTCAGGACAAAAAAGCAGGGGTGGAGTAAGGTGGTAATGAGTTCAACTTTCTTTCGAGAATCAATTCTGTGGTGAGCTAGACTGTCTCTCTTTCCCCTCCCCCCTCTGGAGAGACCCTTAGGTCACTCTCTTTCTCCCTGCTCATTCCTTCACCCTAGTGGACCGGTGGGAGGATCCCCCAAGGCCTCCATGATTCTCCATGATGGAGAAGAGCAGCAGCTTGCTGTCGAGGCCTGAGCATCCATCCCAGGGTGGCTCCCAGAACATCACCATGTGTGGTTGTGTGCCTTTTTTAGCCTCACTCTTTCAAACTATAAAACGAAACTGTCTCAGATACTGTCATACAACTGCTCAATGCCAAAATCTGCTAGTGACAGTCCCCAACAGCCCCTGCCCTGCTGTGCCTCTCTGTGGTGGGTCTCAAGGGCCACGATCTTAGTATACTCTGAACCCCATATTCCAACTCATCACGAAAGAGAAAACAGGTTTTTTTCCATATAGTTTCTAGAAATTTGAAAATGATTTTGCTTGATTTTTTTGGATTTTTTTTTGTGTGTGTGTTTTTGTTGTTTGTTTGTTTGTTTGTTTGAGACAGTTTCACTATGTAGCCCAGGCTGGCTTCAAAGCTGAGATTCCCCTGTTTCAATTCCATACCAGCACCATAAGGCCTGGCAAAGGCCAGAAACATTTAAAATGGCACTGTGTCCAGTGCTATTAGCCATAGTATGAGTAAAAAAAATCACACTTATGGAAATTTGGATTTAAATCCTCAGGTTTTAAAAAAAGACAGCTCGCCTCAGGCTACTCGCCAAGGCCAACAAACCTCTAACGGAAGTTTGCTCCTGAGGTGACAATCTGTTCCTTATACTATGTTCCCAAGAAAGTTTGATTTCCTAGGAGTCGAGGCCAACACCTGCTTGCAGGGCTTATCTAGGTGCCACTTGCAGGGCAATGGGCACAGCTTCAGCCCTCAGTACCCAGCAGCAGTATTCTTTTCACTAAGCCCTTAGAGGAAGGACCTCCTCACCCATCAGAGCCTGTAAGCCAGGAGAACTGAAAGCCGACAAAACCGGAATGAAAGCCTAAGCTTGTGCACAAGGAGGTTCCGAAAGACAGGGTCATGTCAAGCTTGAAATTGGAAAAGACCCAAAGAGAAATATTCCCATTCTCATTCTCCCCCATCTCCCCTTCCTTCCATCTCTCCTCCTTCCTCTCCTGCTCCCCCTGTTTCCATTAAGTGTCTTTATGGATGTTTGCTGTAGGTGACACTTGAGAGCACTAGTCAGCTGTGGTTCAGACAGAACCTTTCTGAACTATCCCCACCCACACCTCCTCCACCAAGCCCTGGTGTGAGCATGTCCTGAGGGCAGATTGGATCTGTAGGTAGAAAGATGTGTCCATTGGCTCATCAGAGACCCTGGGCTCTCTAGATCTTTTCTACTCTACTGACAAGAATGGAGGGTTAGTAAAAAGGGCACTTCCAACAGATGAGTAAAGGCACAGAAACCCATGCCAGAACAAAAACAAAACCAAAAAGCCCCACAAAACTTTCAGGACCTATGTTGCTATTGGGTGCATAAGCCAAGATGGAGTATAGATTTTAGAAGTCAGGTACAAGACATGGGAAAAAGGACCAGTGCTTTTGTGTCCTCAGTTCTCTTGACCAGAGTGTTGTTATAGGCTGGGGAGATCACTTAGTAGATAATGAACTTGCCACATACAAGTGTGAAGACCAGAGCATCAAAATCCATGTAGATTGCTGGGTGGCCACAATGGCCCCAGCCTCAGAAGGTGGAGACGGTCTCACCAAAGCAAGCTGGGTAGTGAGACTAGCCATATTGGCAAGCTCTACATTTGATTAGGCAGCCCTGCCTCAGTGAACAGGGTGGATGCATGATTGAGGATGATCCAGGACATCAACCACAGACCTCCACATGTGCACACGTGAGCGTGCCCACATGAAAATGAAAAAAGAAAAGGAGAACCCTGATTGTAGGGAATAGGTAAGTAAGTGGTCTTCATTTTCCTGGATAAAGTAGCACTCAGAATTGGTACATTGATTTCTAAGGAGCTTATGATCATGACTTTGATATCCACCCACCAACCCTGTAGGAGCCAAGCCACAGTTTTAGGTGCTTAGATCCACAGTGATTCTTAAACCAGAGATGGGGAGCCAATAACTCCCTAATCTCCACTGTCCCCAAGTCAGTGTGTCCCCAAGCCCATGTGTCCTTTGTCCTCTTCCACAACTTTCCAAGTCTGCATAGCCATTTTTGTGACTCGTTCTTTTCACAACTACCATGGAGAGGACCTGAAAATGGGTCTTGTGCCCTTGCCTCCCTCCTCCAGTCAACATCAGGGAAGCCTGGGGGCGAGCCTGGGCTTTCCTCTCTATGTCCTCCTCCCCCAAGGATGTTGCTGGGGAGCTCTTACCATCTCTCTGCTCCTCCACGAAGTTCTCAAACTCATTCCTTTGTTCCTCATAATACTCTCTCCGCAGCTCATCATCCCGCAGCTTCTGTCTGTTTTCCGCTGTGAAGACAGAGTTGCTCTTGAGAAAGGAGCAAGGAGGGCATGTATGTGAGGGATACCACACTGTATCCGAGAGACTGGATCTGATGTGAAGAGTAGTGACCAAGCACTTTGCTGAAATGGCTTATGCTTCGCCTGGACTGTAAAACATGAAGGGCCTGGCAGGCCGATCTATCCATTTTGCAGAAGAGAAGAAAGAGGCCCAAAAGGGGACAGTGCTTTGGTTCTGGTCACAAAGTTAGTGGTGTGATCCAAGAACCAGGCCATTTAGAAACTTGAACTCCCATGATGGGAAATGAACTCTCTAAATATTAATCAGATTGAAAGTTAACTTTGGGCCTGGAGAGATGGCTCAGCAGTTGAGCACTGACTGCTCTTCCAGAGGACTTAGGTTTGATTCTCAGCACCCACATGGCAGCTCACAACCATTGATAACTCCAATTCCAGGGAATCCAGTGCCCATATTCTGGCCTCCATGAGCACCAGGAATGCATGCTATAAACATACTACATGCATGCAGACAAAAACACCCAAATACATAAAGTAAAAATTAAAAATTTTAAAGATAATTTCACATTACTGAATATCTTCTAGTCCAGTCTGAGCACCTGTCTTAGTCAGGATGTGGGATTAGCACTGAGATTAGAAGAGTAGATATGAGGTACTGGCAAGATGCCTCCGTGGGTGAAAGTGCATGTCACCAAGCCTCATGACATGATTCAATCCCTAGGACCCACATGGTAGGAGAGAACCAACTCCCACCAGTTGTCCTCTGACATCTGTGTGTGCACCATAGCAGGTATGCACCTTCTACATACAAAATGTATATACATATACAAAATAAATGCATAAATGCCACTAAAAAGTAAAGGCTGATAAGAAAGATACTATCCTCCCACTTCTTAAGAGGGATGACCCTGTTGTGCAATTAAAGAGGATGTGAAATCAAGTGTCAGCAGGATGGGGAGTATGACTCTACTATACAGCACTTATCTAGAATGTGCAAGTCCTAAAATTCAATTCCCGACATTGCAAAATAACAATAATACTCAAATAAGCTTTTACCAAGCATGACAGCTTTTGTAATAAAAGACTGAGAGCTGTGATGCTTTGGAAGATGATATTTAAAGTCCTTTACTTAAAGGTTCTTGTGTCCTTTAACTGGAACGCACACTGGAGGCCTATGGATCATAGGCACTTCAGGAAGATGGGCCCATCAGATTGCCTCACATGCTCAAGGCATGGGTCCCTTCACATCACAGACTGGACTGTAGTGCTTGCTGCCCTCCAACACTGATATGCAAGAAAAGAAAGAGAAGCAGAAAAGCTAAGGCAACCACAGTACCCATCACCACTCCACTATATGGAGTGTTAGACTTGCCTAGAATGCACAAGGCCTTGAAGTCAATACCTAGTACTGGGGAAGGGGGGAGTATCGGGGACAGGGGGAAGAGAAGAGAAGAGGAAGGCAGGAAGATGGCTCAGCAGCAAGGTGCTTACCAACAAGCCTGACAACCTGAGTGTGAGCCCCAGAATCTACAAGGTGGAAAGAGAGAATCAGCATCCACAAACTCTCCTCTGACCTCCACACTCACGCTCATGCACACCTCTGACCTTACACACATTGTGAATCAATGAATGGGGTTTTTGTTTATTTTCTTTTGTTGAGGGAAGAAAGGAAAAAAAAAAAAAAGAAATAGGGAAGTAGAGAGAAAAAAGAAAGAAAACCTCAACTCCTTCCTGGAAGCAAGAAGCTTATATTAATAAGTCAATAAGTGAATACTAATTAACTCATTAAAACAAGGTTATCTGTGGATTTGCCTTAGTACAGATTTCTGAGAGAAGTCCCATGTTTCTTCACATCCTACAGATTCCTCAGGAGGTGACTAGGGCTCAGGGAGGTGCGGTGACCTAATGGAGGCCAGCCACACAGCTGCCTGGCCCAGAACACCTTGCTTGGCAGTGTCACCCTTCTGACTCCCTGAAAGCTCTGATGTGGCTCCAGATATCGGAAAGCTGCTGCAGGAGTGTTCAGGTTTTAGGAAGGACATCGTGAGTGACTACCTGTTCCTGAAGAACATCATCATAAAAGAAACCATCCCCAAACTGAACATCTGATGTAACAATAACAATGAATGAATTTCACACTCTACCCAAATGGTGTTTTATAGGATGTGCCAACATACACATTTTGTACATTTTTTGAAGGTAACTGGGCATGGTGCCATGCACTTGTAATCCCAGAGGTGGGATGGAAGAGACGTCCAAGGGGCTTGCTGGCTAGCTAGACTAGACTCTCTAGCAAGTTCCAGGCTACTGAGAGACTCTGCCTCAAAAAGAAAAGTGGACAGCAACTTTAGAAACAACTCTTGAAGTTGCCTTCTGATCTCCACATGTATGTACACACACACACACACACACATACACACACACACTCACACACACTCATACTCTCATATACACGCTCATACTCATACACACAAATATACATCCATCCAATTATTATTCTAAAACAGTTCCAAATTCATGTTAATTCCAAGGTGATTCTCCTCTATCTGTCCACAGAGGTCGGTCTGGTGACTGCTAATATGAAGTCCAGGGTATTCACTTGGATATGTAGCACCTCCCCCACTGCCCACCTGACTGAGCTTCCATCCATGGGAAGAGACCTCAGGCTTAATCATGAACTGCATTGTTCTCAATCATCAGTTTCACAGGACAGAAGATAATTGCCTGTGCATACCAGTTTCCTCCCTCAGAGTCTGCCAGAGTCTGACTGCAATCAAGGACTACACCTCCAGCACAGACTTTCAGTGTTGCTGGACACTGGCCTGCTTCAAATTTCAACCTGTGTGTGGTCTGGCGATTTTCCTACTGTGGTCGGTTAGACTTCTCAAATTAAAAAAAAAAAAAAGAATCATCTGCAAGCGTTTCTATCCCCGTTCTTCCCCATCATTTGAAAATAATCCTGCTGTTTTTACTGAACAAGAAGTCACCTTGCTTGCTGCCCGTGGGAAGGGACACAAAGAGTTCATTCATCCACATGCTCAAGCAAAGAATCAAGCCACAGACTCAGCCAGGATGTTCTGAGCTCAGAGGCTCAGAAGAATCAGTTCAGGGTAGGAAAATCCAATGCCTCCTGGGTCAGAAGGTCAAGAACCAGAGACTTCAGAGTCCCAGAGATGCCAAAATTCACAGAAAATTAAACTGAAGAAAAACAAACACGAACAAAAATGCCAGCCCCCTCCCTTGATACTTTGTCCTCAGCCTCTTTCCTGGTTTATAAAGAAATTGAAATCAGAGGGAGGAAGTGGCTGAGGCCACTCAGCAGCAGAACCGTCACCAAGCTTACTCTTCCCAGCACTTAGGTCCTGAGTACCGTCCCAGAGGGAGGGCCACATTGTTGTCCTGGGTGCACCATGCGACTATTGCTTAAGGCCCACTGAAGTGGCCTATTTCCTCCAGACCCCGCAGACATTCCCCTCAGGTTTTTTGTATTGTTTTGTTTTGTTTTTCACTTTCTGACTACATCTTGGGGCTCTTGACGTGGCATAGTCTCTGTTGTTCCTTACCTTGATGCCACTTTAATCCAACCTATGACCCATAACCGGTGAAATATAATACTGTTTCTACATTTCTATTTCATTTGTTAGGGACACAAGCATGCCACAACGTGCATGTGGAGGTCAGAAACCAACTCTAGGAGTCACTTGTCTCCTTCTACTATGTGGGCTCCAGGGGTTGAATTTGGGTCACCTACACCATAAGGCCATCTCATTAGCCCAAAATATAGTACTGCTGCTCATATAGAGCTCTAGTCCCCCTAATATCAGAGGCTTTGGTAGTCCATTGTGGGAGGGAGACCGTCTGGCATCCTTACCATTGACTTCAACTTGGGATTTGGGAGACCGCTTGCCACGCCTCTTGAGGAAATTTGAGGCATCCGATTCTTGCATGAAAATCTTCTGTTTCATACCTGAAACCAGAAAAGTGCTTCTTCACAACCAGCATGGGTAGGGGAGCAAGATCCGTCTGTCCCACATGTAGGGGTAGCCCCTAGACTCACCTTCCTGCGCTGCCTGGTCTCCGGCTGCCTGTCTGCTGCCCACAGAAGCACTGGTCCCCTCTTGTAGCACTGTGGGGTGGGGTTTAGGGAAAGGCTGTAGCATCAGAGGTCCCAGTGGGGCTTCAATAAGCCTGGGTGCAGTGGCTTATTAGACTACATTTGGGGCCCTCTGCCCTTCTGCATACCAGTCACATAGGCAATCTTTATAGGAATCTACCATATGAGCTGACTTGTTTCCTATTTGTTACCTTTGCTATTTTTCTGTTATATTTTCTTGTACACACACACACACACACACACACACACACACACACACAACGAGCATAGCTACCTTGATAAACATACTCCTTCCTACCTATGCCACCTGAACAAATTGACCTATGTATAGAAGGTCTTACTGTGTAGCCAACACAGCCCACCCTTCGGTCCTCCCATACTCACTACACAGGAGCACCACGGCCAAGAAAGATGACAGGAGGATGACTTGTCTCCAGGACATCTTGGTAGTGCACCTCCAGAGACCACAGGGCAGATGCTAAGATGAGGTGGCTTGGAGTCCCCAGTACTGCTGAAGCTGCTGCCCAGTGAGCCCTCACTTCTGAGTAGGGCAGACAGGCAAGAGAGAGAAACAGGAGGCAGGAAGCTGGGGTGCCACTGGGGGGGGAGAGGGAGGGGTTCTGGCTGTGGTTTCCACTGGCTGCTCCTGGCCAGAGCACTGGAGATGTTTTTGGCACCTGGCAGAAAGCTCCACAGAAGTGAGCTTGTAGTTGGTGGGGGCCCTGGCAGGGACAGATTTGAAGTGTCCTTTCCAATATCCATGCCCAAGGAGGTGCTATGAAGAATACTCAGCCTGAATCAGGGTGCAGGAGGCCAATGGGATGTTTCAATGAGTTCTTTGCATCTGCTTGAAGGAGGGTGGCTCCCTGGTAACCATGGCTGAAACATATGGGGCCAGATGAAGAGGGAATTACTCAGAGTTCGTTTGCATTCAAATGTCGGAAAAGTAAGGCCCCTGATATCTGGAATATACCCTGATGTGTGGTGATACTCACTGAGACACGTGGGCCATTCTGATGGTACCTACGGAACTTCCTCACTTGATCCATTGATCCCTGGAGCCCTTGGCTGAGCGATAAAGGTCAGTGGCAGGGAATTTTCCTGGTATGTGTGAGGATCTAGGTTCAGCTCCCAGGACTGCAAATTTAATGAATTAGTTATAAGCAGTTTCAAAACATGGAACCCTGGGTTTACTGAGGTTGCAGAAGACAACAATAGCAAACTAGTTCTACATCTTTATAACAGGGCTTGTGGGGATGGCTCAGCATTGTAGAGTGCTTGCTGCACTTGCAGAGGACTGGAAGTGAATACCTGTCTTCTGACCTCCAGGCGAATGAGTATACTAGCACATAGTCTGTTGAGAGAAATGAGCCATAGGGCAGAGCCATTTTGACAGGAATCCTAGGTGAAACAGTAGATGTGGGAAACACCTGTGGCAACCTTGAAACCTCTGATCTCCCCTTGCCCAGTGAAAGGCCATCCCATTCAGCTGCAGACCTTTACTGAGCACTGACTTTCTCCTTTACTAGTCATCAACCTTGGGTAAACTTCCTACTTCCCCAAAGTCACTTAGTCCCCTTTGTTTATCCACTGTCTATGCCAAAAGGCTTAGAGAGTAACCCCATGCTGCTCTCTTAGAGCCAGGCTGGGAGAAAATGGTCAGAGATTAGGAGTCCCTGAGCAAAGTACTAGAGCCCTCTAAGGAGAATTAAATGTGAACCTCACATTTCTAAGCTGTTGGCCTTAGATATGTATCAGCTATGCTGAGTTGGTTCAAGAAATGGTCCTTAAGAGCTGGAGAGATGACTCAGTGGTTAAGAGCATTGGCTGCTCTTCCAGAGGACCCAAGTTCAATTCCCAGCACCTGCATGGCAGCTCACAACTATCTGTAACTCAAGTTTCAGGATATCCGACTCTCTCTTTAAAAAGAAATAAAGAAAGAAAAGGAATGAAGGAAGAGAAAGAAAGAAAGAAAGAAGAAAAGGAAGGAAGGAAGGAAGGAAGGAAGGAAAGGGTCCCCAGCTGCTTCCTGTGATCTCCCAGTTCCCTCAGAACTTTCTATCCCAAACCATTGGCACCCAGCTTGCCACACTCTTCAGTCTTCATTCTCTCTGTGCCAGGACCGCCCACCAAGCAGGGTGCACAGTTGTCAGCCGTGTGTGTGTGTGTGTGTGTGTGTGTGTGTGTGTGTGAGAGAGAGAGAGAGAGAGAGAGAGAGAGAGAGAGAGAGAGAGAAACTTCTCTTTATGCCCAAGCAATGTCTACCTTTTAGTCTGTCCATAAACTCCTATGGTCTGGGACCAGGTGGGTACCTTCGAGTCCTCAGGTCTGGGGCAATGCTTTCCATTCTGATAGGGCTCCATGGAGTCTTTCTGAAGGAAGATGTACATCACATTCATCCCTAATATAGGAACTAGCTCAAACTAGTTATTTCATAAATATTTATTGAGTCAATCAAGGAAAACATCCTTGCATGAGAATGTGAAAATAAAACATCCAGCTGGGCCTGGTGGCACACCCCTTTAATCCCAGCACTCAGGGGGCACAGGCAGGCAGATCTCTGTGAGTTAAGATCAGCCTGGTCTACAAAGTGAGTTCCAGACAGCCAGGGCTGTTGCACAGGGCTGTCTTGAAAAACAAAAAAGGAAAAGAAAAATAAAAACACCCATGAGCTCATTTCTAACATGTGTCCTCTGTTCTCAAAGGGCTGTGGAAAGCTTGATATGACATTCAAGTTTCAAGCTTCACCTTCTCAGCCTTCACTTCCCTCTGGGTTCCTCATGCCACGCCTGGCTCTTTGTCTCTATACAGGGTGTGTGTGTGTGTGTGTGTGTGTGTGTGTGTGTGTGTGTGTGTGTGCGCGCGCGCGTGTGTGTGCGTGCACGTACATGTCTGTATAGACAGGTATGTGTAATGCCTGCAGAATTCAGAATAGGACATCAGATTCTTAGAACCAGTGTTACAGACATTCAGAGGTTTTGTTTGTTTTTTAGTTTTGTTGAACTTCAGTCCTCGAGGTTGAGCAGCAAGTGTTCTTAATAACGGAGCCATCTCCACAGCCCCCATTGTGACAAGCTGGATGGAATTTATGGGCCATATAATTCACCCATTTAAAGTGCACAACACAACAGTTTTCAGCCTATTCACAAAAGGGGCAACCTTCACCACAATCAACTTCACTTTGGTTCTTTAAAAGGAACCCCTATACCATTAGTGGACATTTCTCCATTTTCCTCAACCCAAAGGTAGCCTCTTGTTCATGCTCTGTGACTATAGATTTGCCCTGTCAAGACATTTCCACTGAATAGACTCATACAACATGTGATATTCTGTGCCTGGCTGTTTTCACTTGACAAAATGTTTTCCAGGTTTACTCATGGTGTGACATGAATTAGAACTTCATGTCTTTTCATTGATGACTAATACTGAATAGGGTAGGCTATGTTTATTCATTAGTTTAATACATTATCTCTACCATTTGCTCACTCTGAATAGTGCTACTGTGAATTTTGTGTATGGGTGTTTGTACTGGCACATGCTTTCATTTCTCTTGGGGGTGTCTGGATCCCAGGACAACTTTATGGTTAGTATTTTGAAGAACTCTCATCTCTAAAGTTTTCATTTATTCATCTGCCTTACTCATCTGTCCCTTTTGGTGCTTTGAGGTCTCTTTCAGGGGAATTTCCACCTGGCTCATGCCTAACATACCACCTGGCACAGCCTGGCTGCCTCATAAGTGTTTATTGAATCAGTCAGTGAAAATACCGTAGCCTAAGAGCATAAAATGGAACATTCATGTGTTTATCTCAATGGGCTGTTCATGAGAAGGAACTCATACAGGGGTCTGAGAGTTCTGCATCCATATGTCCCTGCGGATAAGGTTTTTCTCAAACAGCAGGAGTGGATTTTGGGGGTGGTACTTAAGAAGGACTGCACAAGGGGTCCATCAGGATGCCCTTAACATGCCCCAGTTTAGTCAAACTTTAAGCAATCTCTTTTTGCCTCAAGGCCCCCAATTTGCCTTTTGATGGAGCATTCACTTTAGAAAATAAAGTGAGTTCCAGGCCTCCCCATGGACAGCTGAAGGGCTCAGACCCTCACCCTGTATGCATGTATGATGCCCCTCAACCAAAGAATGGGTAGTGGAACCCGGATGTATTCTTGGTGCACAAAAGGACCTTTCGGACACATCCCCCATGGAGGGATACTCCCTTAACCTAGAGACAGGAGAGAAGTCCTAGTCCCTACTTCAAATAACTTGACAGATCTACATGACCCCACCTGGATGGCATTGCCCCACATGTGGAATTGGGGTGGGGGAATGGGAGGGGAGGGTGGTCAGGGTGCATGTGAGGGGGCAGAGAGGGTAAGAGGGAGGGAGAGGGAACTGGGATCGACATGTAAAATAAAAAATAAATAAAAAAAGAAAAGAAAAAGAAAATGTGGTACATTTATACAATGGTAAAAAAACAAGGACATCTTGAAATTTGCAGGCAAATGGATAGAACTAGAAAGAAAACATCCTGAGTGAGGTAACCCAGACCCAGAAAGTCTTGTCTGTTCTTTTGTTATTTTATTTTTGTTGTTGTTTTGTTTTATTTTTTGAGACAGGGTTTCTTTGTAGCTTTTGGAGCCTATGCTGAAACTCACTATGTTGACCAGGCTGGCCTCAAATTCAGAGATCCACCTGCCTCTGCTTCCTGAGCACTGGGATTAAAGGTGTGTGTCACCACACCCAGCCTCATTTTACTTCTTCCTCGATGGTCTAATTTTGACTTCCATTTAAAGTGGTGAAGTAGGTGTTGCATCTCAAGAGGAATTTGTAATACTTGGAACCAGGGAGTTTCCAGAATTGAGCTCTGTCTGGAAAGAGATGACCATCTTTCTTCCATTCTCCAGCTGTAGGAGCTATGGTAAGGAAGCATCTTGAATACATGTGGGAACACCTGATTATTAGACTCAAAATGTAATAAAGAGAGGTTGCAATTTTTTAAAAATCAGTTTATTTGAAGCCCTCCTGGAACTGACTGTGTTGATACATGATTCCAGTGTATAATCCATCATTTTAGGGAAGTCACAGAGGCAAGAGCCTGAAACAGCTAGTCACATCCACAGTCAAGCTTGAGAGGCTTAAACTACACATTTGTTTTCTCAGTTCTTGAGGTAAGAAGTCTGAGTTTGAAGTGTTGGCTGGTTCCTTGTGAGGTTTCTGTTGTGGTTTCAATGTGTGATCCCTGTAGGTCCCCAGCTAATGGTAATTTTGGGGGGGGGGCATTTGAGAAGTAGAGCCTCTGTCAGTCAGTGTTCTATTGCTGTGAAAAGACACCATGACCAAGTAGATCCAGATAGTTCCTCATTGAAATTGATTGTCTTCCAGGTGACTCTAGGTTGTGTCAATCAAACTAGGTTGACAATCAAACTAATCATCACTATAAGCACAGTTATTCAAATATCAAGATACTTCCATGCCTGGCATGATAGCACAGACCTGTGATTCCAGCCATTCATGGGAAGTAAAGATAGAAGGATCCTAAATTAGGGTCAACTTAACAAGACTCTGTC